TTACCAAGGATGTGAACCTAGGTCTCCTTAATGAAAGCCCAGAATTCTAACTGATCTACCAGAAAACAGAAAAATAAAAGTTACAGAATAATGATATATCCTAATAATAGATGGAGATACATCCCATGTCCAAATAACATTTTTCTTTCTTTTTCTGATGGCTTTGATGAGTGATCTTATATTTATATATATATATATATATATATATATATGTATTTATTGCCTTCTTTATTCATGGTTAATCAATATTCGTTTCAAAAGCCACACTTCCATGCCTCTAGATTTTTCATAATTTTATAATTCATTTTCCAACATTTATATTCATACAAAAGAACCAATCAAACATAACTTCTCATTTAGACATGACCGCATATGGTGTGAATTATTACCTTCATTTCAAATTTAACTATTCAATTTTAATAATAAGATATATTAGCTATGTATGTTGGTTTAGAGCCCCATTTTAGGGAAGAAAAGAATACACCCAATCTGATGTCCCTTAACAAGCATGCTGTAAATGATGACTGTTTCCTGAAAAAAGTTGTGTGGGGTCAACAACAAAAAATATCACAGCTTAGCTGTAGACCTGAACATATTGTACCAACCACTCTTTTAAGGGTGAACATAGAGGAAGAAGAAATGTATATCAGCTAACTTATTGACCTTCATTATTCTCTCAAAGAGGCATAAATGTTACCATGTGGTATTCAAACACACTGAGCATTTTGTTACATTACCTGCAACACAGTTACACTTGAAGTCACTGTCAAGTTGTGTGCAGTTGGAGTTGTGCAGACAAGGATGACTGAGACATTCGTCAATGTTGACCTCACACAGTTCACCAGCAAACCCTCTACGGCAACTGTGCACAGTAAAATATATCTGTTAGGTGTAAATTTGAACACATTAACAAGCAGGCTGATAGATTAGTTGCTGCAGCTCCTCAGGGTTGTGAGCTACTATGTGATAAAGCGGATGTGGTGAAGGCTCTATCAGATCAAATGGACAGTGCAAACAAATCAAAAAATTAGAAACAGATAGGGAACCCATACACTGAAAGATTAATTCAGCGGGGGTGTGCAGAGGTTCTGGAAGATATTCAACACTGAAGGGGAAAGAGAGGTGGACTTTTAATCAAGTTACAACTCTTATTTTTTTACTGAAGAAGGGGACAGAGCATTGTGTGAATGTCTCGAGTGCAGCGATGTCAATTCTTGACTCATTCATGAATTCATTGAACACATACAACTTTAACCGCAGTGGTATCTTACTCTGTATTGTATGTGAATTTTGAAAATATTCATATTATTACCTATTCTTCAAGACCTGAAAAAAAGGAAGATTTCATCATTAATTTTTTTTCTTTAGATTTTATAATGTGAGATTATTATAATAGAAAGAATCAAACTAAATCAGGTGCTGATCTTATAAAATAAAAAGACAATACACAAATTATGTCAGCAGTGATGCTTTTAAATGTGTTCTGCACACAATGGTGGAAACAGAGGTGACTGCAATCAACCTGCAAAAGATCGTACCTAAGAAAGAAAGAAACCTTTCTCCTCCTTTTCATCCATATCCTCCTCTTCTTTTCCTTATTTTTGCAATAATAGCTCTGGCGATGGCACCATTAATCCAGTTCTCATAATAACCTGCCATGTGTTTCTTCAGAGTTATTTCTTGTCTCTCTATGATAGAAATTTAGTTTTGATTCAGTAGTCCACTATATCTTTCTTAAATTGTTTTACAGAGGACAATCCTGCAGAATGTATCTTATAGATTTGACTTCTTCTTCATTTCCCCCTTAAAAGAATGTTTGATGAGCTGTGTTGTGGTTTACAGCTAAGCTGTGATATATGTGCCTTTTGACTTAACACAATGATTTCAGCAAGTCCTTAATCAGTCATCTTTTATGACATCTTTTTAAAGGTGGAGTTGGTTTATCCTTTTTTTTCTTACCCAAAATGGGGCCCTGGTACCTACACATAGAAAAAACTTGACTGAATAACACTGATTTAACCCTACCAGACCTAACTGTCCCCTATACCTGAGCTCCTGGGCATTAACGCGAAAAAATTCAACATGACATACAAAAATATTAATTACATGCAAACAAGTGTTTAGAATAAGTTGAAACTTGGAGATATTGTAGAAAATAGGTTTACCTTTCACCAACACCAATATTCCACCTTTGTGTGCCATCCACTCAGGAGGATCAGCCTTGTTTCACAAAGTGAATACCAGGTGTTGCTGTCTGAGAGGCACGCCCCCTTCTCCTGCTATCAATCTATTTCTAGATTTATAATTTTCAAGATTCTCCTCATTATTCAAGCTCTCTCACTTCAACTGTGAACATATTCTTCATGAAATTATGTGTCCGCAGAATCTGCATAAACCAAAGTATCGATCACCTGTTGGACTGTGAAAATCTTAGACCTCTTTCCTGTCAAAGTGCTTGGTTCATCAGCCGCTCATTTCATTGTGAAATTTCAGAATGTTTTCACGTAAAACAACACAAATTTAAATCCAAACATGTGTGGGCGGACATCTAGGAAGACTATCCATGAGGTCTGATGACGATTGGCTAGTTATTTTTAGTCTGTGACGCATCTTTTTCACCTACTATTCATATTGCCAAAAATTAGAGACAGTGGTATAGCGTCAGGTTAAGACATTTCTGAAAAACAAAGTCTGGTAGGGTTAAAGAGAACTATAAATGCGAAGGAAGAATAAATTGGTATCACTATCAATTTTATTACTAAATCAGATTGAAAGATGTATAGAAGTTCTACATAGAGAAAATAAAATAAGCAAAAACAACCCAGCCATACCTGCAAAAGAAAGCATTTACTCCATCCTGGCAGAGTCCGCTGTTCAAACATGGATTGGGTTCACACTCATTTATATTTTCTTCACATAACAAACCAGTAAATCCAGAATGACACAGGCAAGAAAAAGTGGCATTTTCCTCGATACAGCTTCCTGAGTTTTGGCACGGATTGGACTCACAAGAGTTTAATGAAATCTACATAGTGGAGACAGATTTTTAAATAGTTAGTTGGTTAGTTAGTTGGTTAGTTAGTCGGCAGATTATCCTCATTGCATATTGAACCATTCAGTCCATAAATGCTTGGATCCCCTCCTAAGTAGATCCCACAGCATGCAGCGGCTCTTGATACCAGTTCTGTGTTGATTTCTTAATCTGTTTTGGCTTCCTGCATAACTGTCTTGTCTGGCCACACCCCTCTTAACATGTTGTTCTTGCAGTCTGGTCATACTGCAGATACAGACTCATCACTCAGTTCTCGCAAACGTTGTAATTCTCGTACAGCACTCAGAATATCAGGATTATTAAATATATTGTAACACTGATGTTCACTAATTTTTTCACTCACTCACTCTCTCACACACACATGCTCATTTGCATGCACACCCACATAAACATACATATAACGACATAAATGAGAAAGAGTATATAGTGGAATAAAAATGAATATGGCTCTTGCTCTCTCTTTCATACTCACACACATACACAGGGTCGAGGATCATGGAGAGAGGGTTGTAGTGAATAAGGCAGTGGAGCACACCAGCTGTTCCCCCTTGTGAGTCTCTGGGTCTAGCCTTATAGGTGAAATGGGCGCAATCAGGTGGTAAGTCCTCTGACCTGATAAACCTTTCTACAGTCAAGACTGTTGTGTGTAACCGAAAAGGCACATCCTTTACGAGGTGACCCAGTTAACCAAGACCCTGCGGTACTGGACACCAAATGGACTGTCCTGGGTGATCATGGAAGTTACCATCTGCCATGTTCAGTATTGATCTCCAAATCCAGGAATGTTGAGGTTTTAAGAGCTCATAGGTCTTTCAAGTATGAGAGGGCCAACACCATTCTTGGATGCCTCTAAAAGAGGGCATGTAAGAGGATCGGCAAATCTACTTTTGTGCCTCCATGGTGGACATCAAATGTGGAACAGGCATGGAAGTTAAAGAGAGCTGCAGTAAAGCATTTAAAGAAAGTGCAACAGACAGCTCTAAGCTCACAGGAGCAGTTGGAGTGAGCAGAAAGAGATAAGAAAGATAGTTTTTAAAGCGCTGTGTGGCAGAGGCCAAAAAAACAAAATGGGAGCATTTTTTGGAAGCTACACAGGCAGATGCTTAAGAAAGATCGGCTTAGCATAATGGGCACAATTCATAGTATGCTATTAACCACAGACAAAAAGAAAGGGGAGGCTTTCCTGAAGGGGTTCATTTCACAGACAGACCACAATGATGGAGATAACAGAGATAGAGTTAGAAGATCTGGCAGCCATCTTAAAGAACAAACATTATGAAGACATCAAATAGGTGAAAGATTTAAAACATGTTTTGAAAAGGGCGAAAGGCATTGCACCCGGCCCTGATGGGGTCAGATATTCCCACATAAAAGATGTGAAAGATGCAGACCTGGTGGAGATGACTGTTTGTTTCAACCAGAGCATTTGGACAGCTTCAGTCCAAGAGTGGATGTATAGCTACCTGATTCCACTTCTTAAGCCTTGTAAGGATCATCTAACACTCAGCGGCTATAGGATAATAACCCTACAAAAACAGCATTGGTAAAGTGCTGGAGAAGATAGTGGCGGGTAAGCTACAAGAGTTTTTGGAACAGAGAAATCTCCTCCCACGAAGTTTAGGAAGTTACCGACCAAGGAAGGACACATGATCAAATGCAGCCAATTTTGCCTTTGACACCTTCAAAGGTTTCAAGAACAGAGAGGAAACTGTGGCAGCAGCACTTGATTTAGAAGATGCTTACAACAGATTCAGATGCAGTATATTGATGAATGCTCTTATGGGGAAGGGAGTCTGTCCTTGGTTGGTGAACTGGATAGCAGGTGTTTTGTATACTCGCTGGGTAGCTATCCATCTGGGTTCATGGACCTCTGAACCATGCTCTAGGACTATACAGGGATTTGCAATTTCACCTGTACTGTTTAATTTTTTTACGAGCAAGATTGCAGACCTGGAAACACGGGAACATGACAGAATACTGACATTTGCAGATGATGTTCTCGTATATAGATAGGGAAGAGATTGGAATCAAAAAGAGTTACAGGCGACAGTAGATAAGGTGATCGACTAGTGTACAGAGATGAGTAGAGTAATAAACCCAGAAAAGGCAACCATGCTGTAGTGTTCTTTAGACAACAGGACTGTTAGAGCTGATGTTCAAAGCCTCAAAATATATGGCAGGTACATCAAAAGAGATAGCAGAATGTGGTACCTGAGAATCGCCTTTGACAGAAGTTTGTGTTTCAAGGATCATATAGAGAGGGTTGTGACAAAGGCTCAAAAAGGTCCTAATGCATTAAAGATTATGGCAGCAATGGACATGGAGCAGAGAATGCTGTTCACACTTTACCAGCTCTTAATCATCTCAACGACTGATTATGGACTGGGATTACTCACTCTCTCAAAGAGTCAGCTAGAGAAACTGGAGTGCATAAGAATGCAGCTATGCAGGTGATCCTTGGATGTACAAGAGACACCCTGATTGTGTGTATGAGATACATCTTTGCATTGCCAACTATTGCAGATAGGCTAAAGGTGCTGCAGGCTATGTCATACATCAGAGTAGCTGCAAAGAACACCCTTTATATGAAGCTTTGGCTGCAGATAAGGGTCAGAGGCTGAAAAATCGGAAAATCGTGGACGGCTCAAGCAGAAGACAATAAAACAAGCATGCATGCTGAAGAACATTGGGTGAGGAGAGGACTGGGTCACAGTACGAGAAGAGAAGCCTGATCTGTGTACAGTTATGATCACACTGGGCCAGGAATGCAGAGAGTGGGTCAGCAGGTGCTCTGAAGGTGGAAGTCCAGCAGTTGCTTGACAACAATTCTCACCCAGTCGATCTGATTATCTATACAGATGGTTCTGTGTTGGGAGGGAAGAGAAGTGCCTGGAAGTTCATAGCGAAAACCAATGGAAAATCTTTGGTGCAGGACAGCATGGCATACGATACCACACCATCTAGCATCAGAATGGGGGTGGTGGTGATAACTGCAGCTCTGCGATGGCTAGAGAACAAGATGCATACATATGTCATCATTGTAAAAGACTCTGAAAGCATGCTGAGAAAGGTGAAGACAGGGATGCTTCGAGCAGATTGGCAAGCTTCACTGGGAATGCCACGGGTAGTAAGGATACTTTGGATCTTTTCTCCAGGCCATGCAGACATGGTGGGGAATTGAACAGACAGACAGATTGGATGCATCTGCACCACTTGGTGATGAATTGATACATGACAGGACAGATGTGGTCAGGGCCCTTTGGGAACTAGCAACGGAGGCAGAAGAGAAACAAGACTATCAAGGCCTGAAGGGAATGAGGCACCTGGGTGTAATCAGAGGGTCTGGCTACCTCACTACACTTAGAGGACAGGCAAGACTGACATATAACCAGATTCCAACCTGTACCATTAGTACTGGAACTCTGTGCTGGCTGCTGAAGATGAGGACATAGTACACATGGGATCGCCCTGAGTGCTGTGATGTCAATTCTTGACTCAACTAGACCCAACTTAACACAAACACACACAAATAAACACACAGACTCAATATCACCAAAACATGACCCATCATGTAACATTATTGTGTTAAGTGTGACGGCTCATCAAAACTAGTTAGGAATGAAACTGTTAGCTGTGGCAGAATTTAATGTTTTCTGACCAACACAATTCCAGTATCAACCCAGCCATGTAAAAATGGAGAACTGCTAATTTTCCTGAAAGGAAAAATGACAAAGAAATTAGCTGGCCATGCCACTAGTTTATAGTTAGACCTGTTCAGCTGGTTAGAGTTTCATGCTAATAACACAAATGGCATGGGTTTGATCCCCATACTGGTCAAATATTTTGTGGATGTCCATGATGAATCGGTCAAGCCATTTACCTAATGCTCATACAGTTGGTTGTTTGTTTGTTTCACAGCTGTGTTTTTTGGTTCATGAGTTTAATTTTTACAGAGATGCCTGGCGATCATCACAACATCTGTTGCTCTTAATGCAGAGGTCAACGCTCTCATCTGTGAAAATTCAGAAGCAGATGCACTAATCTACACAGACAGATCTGTTATACGCCAAAAAAGAAGCGCATGGGCATTCACAGCACACTAAGTGGGCAAAACAGTCAAAGAAGCCAACAGTGCCTTCTCCATGACAACCAGCAGCATGATGATGGAGGTGATGGCAGTGACGGTAGCGTTCGCCTGACTCGAAACACAAAACTACACCCATGTATGTATACTCAGTGATTTAATTATTATGATCCAGACCGTTTAGGTAGGTTCGATGCAAAGACAATGGCTTGAATTATTACAGAAGTCCACTGCGCGTGGAATCACCTTTATTTTTGTTCCGGGACACGCGGGTGTCGATGGGAAATAAGAGCTAATAGGTGGGCTGGATCCGCTATCACTACTGAAGGCCAGCCTATGGATCATGCTGATATTATTAATGCCCTCAGAGTAATGGGAAGGATAGAGGACTTTGGGGGCAGTGAATCCACATCACTCGCCAGAATGGCAGACTTGGGAATTAAGATCGGCATTGCAAAAATCGAGACGCACACCAGACACACCAGAAGACTTGTTAATCAACATAGAACTGGTACTATTAGCCATCGGACATTGGGGTTTATACTAAGGGGAGGATCTGAGCACCTATGGACATGTCTGGTGTGCATTATGATAACCCAACTAACTAACTAACTAACTAACTAACTAACTAACTAACTAACTAACTAACTAACTAACTAACTAACTAACTAACTAACTAACTAACTAACTAACTAACTAACTAACTAACTAACTAACTAACTAACTAACTAACTAACTAACTAACTAACTAACTAAATAACATCACAAAATCTATAGTGTTCATGGTCGTGTGACACTCTCATCAAGCAGCTAGCTGTTCTGAGAGGTAGATTGAGCCATGTGACATAAAACCTGGCGCAGTGAAGTGAATCCTCTCAACTTTAACCTGTAACTGTAAGTAACACTTCAAACTGGACTTCTGCACTTAGCTGAGGAATGATTCACTTTTCTGATACCAAGCAGCACAGCATGAGTTCACTGGTTAGGCCAAATAAAACTTACTTTTAATTATTTTCTAATTTACTTTTGACTATTTTATATCACAGACAGTTATTGTACTAATTTCTTCTTCTTCTTTTCATTTTTCTATTTCTTCTTCTTCTTCTTCTTCTTCTATTCTTCTTCTTCTTCTTCTTCTTCTTCTTCTTCTTCTTCTTCTTCTTCTTCTTCTTCTTCTTTTGCTTATTCTTCTTCCTGTTCACCAGCTGTAAACTCCAGTGAAAAGTTATGGTGTTTAATCCACTTTTGGACTTTGGTCTCGTTCCAGAACTTGAGTTTTGCATGCACATCCATTTTGCAGATCTGGCTTATTTATATGCAGAGTGTTGGTTCCTCACCCCTCAAGCTTATACACTCTGACTTTGAAGGAATTTGCTGCTTGAACTGTTAATCTCCCAGAAATTAACCTTTTAAGTAAAAATGTATGCAACATGAAAGTACTAAGAAATTAAAGCAATATATAAGTGCCCTAGACAAAGACTAAGAAAAGTACACACACAAAAAAAACAGTATAACAAATGAAGCAAGTCAGTAGTGAAATGTCACATCTGTGGTGAGGCATATTTCTTAGTCTTGGTTTAGCACCAACATGTATGGACTGGTCAGAATTAAGTTTTAGGTGATAATGGATCTTCAGTGTGTTTAGATGTTTTCTATCATCTAGATGAAAATGGATCTTAAATGTGTTTAGATGTTTTCTGTCAATACTGATGATGAAGAGAATAAAAATCAATAAATTTGCAATGAGTTATTAGGAACCAAATGAGTTAATTAGACATACCAAGCATGTGGGTCCAGTAAACATTGGTGGACAGACACATGTAAAAGTGTCCCCTGTGTTGTTGTCGCATATGCCTCCATTATAGCATTGATGTCTGCCACACGGATCTATCTGTTCATCACACCGATCACCTGAACTCAAACAGTGCATAAAGAAACCCTTAGTTGTTGCACTTCTCCGCCTTTCTTTTCAATAGTGTTATATTGTGCTAGGAGAAGGGATATGACTAGCAAGACATGCCTGCATTAAGAAAAGTCTTCCACAATTATAGCGTGTAATTTGTGGACCATTTCCTAGCTCCAAACAGCTATTGAAGTGCACAGTCTGTGGTGGATCAACAACATATTGGCTAGAGGCTGTTCAGCTTGATGCGGGTGGTAGCTTATCAGTGACATTTGAAAATGTCTGCCATCATCAGAGGCAAGCAATGGTGCCCTCATCTACGTCAACTGACAAGGACTTATAAACCATAACTGCTGCCTCTCACTTTGCCTCTGAGACCAATTAAGGCCAGAGATAAAGTTCCTCCTCTCCAAAGCACAAAGTCTGGTCAGTAATGTAGAGATCGTATGTTGCCAATGAATCATGATCCCCCTCTCGGACTGCCTTATTTACTCCAAGGGTAAGGTAAAACCAGCATGTGTGGAACAATCGTACTGCAGAAGCCGGATCAGAAGAACAGTGCTTTATCTGTCCACTGGTCAGAGCTTTCCTCCTAGACCTGCTGCCGAAGAAACTCTTAAATTGCACACACAATTTACAAGAGTTAAAAAAATATTCATACCATTTATTAAGCTGTAACAGTGGCATTCTTTCTTCATCTCTTTCACAGCTTTGAGTGGGAGATAAAAGGAGATCTGATTCTAGCTCTCACACTCCTGGTGGCCTTGAACATGGACACTTGATACTTTCGCTAAGTTTCTCTAACGCTGTCTTTCCACCTTGTTCTTCTTTTGTCTTATTGCACTCCTCATTTCAAATATGCCCTGAATGGTTTTGCAGTAAGCAGAAATCTGTCCACACAGGCAAACTATTTTATCTGTTGTCTTTCTGATTCACTAATGGATCACTGACATTGTAGTGAATGCCTACAGCTTGAATTTCTGTGACAATTTCTGTTGTTGACAGATCACTAAAAGTATCCCATCTGGGGTTCATCTGGGCAAAGATTCAAAGCATTCAGCATAAGCCCATATTTGCTCTGTCTCCCTCCTCAACAGACAGTGAAGAGTTTCTTTACTGATGGTACTAATTGTCATCTGGTTAACTAGTCCTCTTGCCTTCTCTTTGAGACTCAAGTGGCATCCAGAGCCCACAGCCACTCCTTGCTGTATCATTCCCTCCAGGTATGGATTTTCAGTATCTTCCATTTCCCTTCTTGTTCTGACCCACAGGTTTGAAATCACCTCTGCCTTGTGCACTTGCAATATACTCCCAAATCAGGTCATTCCAGCCAGCCTATCTGCCTACTCATTCCCAAACACACCTAAATGGCCTGGGCAAAACATACATGTAACTCTTACCACCTGTAACCTCTGGATTTGTTGTGTTTTCTTTTTCTGGCCACTTTTTGATATTGGGCACATCTGCTTTGACAATTCTACTGTTCAATGAACACCATAATATTGAAGCTTTGCTTAAGTTCATCAACAATCCTGTGATGCTACATCAATCATCAATCTTATCCACTACCAACTGGAGTTCTTCCAATATCCTCTTCCTCATGTCAATTGCATACTTTGCTATGAAGAATAAAACAGGGATCTTACTCTTCCTTTGTTCTTATTAGAAAATCTCAGGGATTGACTCTTTCTATTATTCCAAACAATGCACCATGTGTATTAAGCAATACATTTTTTACTATTATATTTTTGACATCTCATGTTATCAAATTAAAACAATCTGGCTAGAAATGTTACCTTAACTGTATATATACAATGCAAGCTGTATATATAACACCCTGTTAATTATTCCATTGCTTTATGTCATCATGGTTTTGTAAACCTGGGGTATCCACTGTGAAATCTTCTGAAACTAAAATAGTTAACTAAGTGGTGGCACTGACAATTTAAAGATCCTCACTAGAGGAATGTACGTGGTAACCCATTGGCTCCTGCTCTGAAACCACTGCCTCTCTTTAATTCTGCAAAAATGGCTCATGGGTGCAAAGTGCTAGGATCTAGGTATCCCTGGAACTATGACAAACCATTATCTGTTGTGTGAGACAAACCATTATGTGGTATATGAGACTGTTATAAGACAAACCACTGAGTTGTGTGGGAATATTATGAGACAAACTATTCTGTGGTGTGTGTGACAGTTTTGAGACAAAACCATTTTATAGTGTGTGTGAGAGAGGCTTGTTATGAGACAAACCATTATGTGGTACAAACCATTCTGTATAAGACAAATCATTATGTGTTGTGTGAGACCGCTAAAAGAAAAACCATTATGTGTTGTGTGAGACTGTTATGAGATAACCATTTTGTGGTGTGTGAGGCTATTATGAGTCAAACCATTATGTGCTGTATGAGACTGTTATGAGACAAACCATACTGTGTTGTGTGAGGCTGTTATGAAAAAACCATTATGTGGTGTGTGAGACTGTTTAAAGACACAACATTATGTGATTATAAGACTGTTGTGAGACAAACCATTCTGTGGTATGTGAGATTTTTATGAAAAACCATTATGTGGTGTGTGAGGCTGTTATTGGACAAACCATTCTGTGGTGTATGAGATTGCTATGAGACAAAAAATTATGTAAGGCGTGAGACTGTTATAAAACAAACCATTATGTGATGTGTGAGGCTGTTATGGGATAAATTATTACATGATGTGTGAGACTGTTATGAGACAAATCATTCTGTGGTGTGTGAGGTTTTTTAGAACAGACTATCATGTAAAGAGTGAAACTGTTATGAGATAAACTATTCTGTGGTGTGTGTGTGAGGCTGTTATTAGACAATCCATTTTTTGGAAACAGATAAAGTCATATAGAGTGAAACCTGGCAAAATTAAGTCAAATAATTCCCTCACTTGAAAAAAACAAAAACTTGTCACATTGTCAGTAAAATGTTATCACTTTACCTTTCCATCCAGGCAGACAATGGCACTTGAAGCTTGAGATGATATCCTCACAGAATGAACTTCCCTGCATGCTACAGGGCATTGGCTGGCAGAAGTCAATTTCCACCTCACATCTTTCTCCTGTATAACCTTTAGATGATATTAAGTTTCAGTATTAATTTAAAATTTAACCACTTCAAGATAACCTTTCCTTTTGTAATATTTTAATAAGACTTCTTCATAATATGAATTTTTCTCAAATGTTGTTTAAATTTTTTCAGGTCTTTTGTGGCAAAATCATATCTGAAATTCCTCTACATGATTGTTTTTCTTTTTTTTTATTCACAGTCCCAGTTTCAGAAATATTTCTTTTTCTAATTCACATTGTATATGTGATCTTTGATGTATGGATTATTTCTTAGATCAAGCTGTTTGTATAATCTTTGATGTCTAGATTATTTCTTAGATAATTATGTTTGTATAATATTAAATATCAGGATTATTTATTTATTAGATATCCTTTTTTTTAACTCAACTGCAATTATATTTAAAAAATGAAGAGTATATCGGGCATCTCTGATTGATGTGTGCCATTGTATTCCACAGATATGTAGTGTAAACCCTACATTTTTATGAACTAATTAGCTCTTGATGCGTGTGTGATGCATGAGGCCAACCTCCACAAAGGTGAATACAAGACAATGAAAATGCTTTGTCTATGAAAGCATGTTGGAGAATCAGCTAAAGAGAGAGAGAGACTTTCAGGCCTGTCATGATGACAGCAAAATTCTGTAAAGAACCTGCTGACTGATGCTGATCTTCATCACAGCATTCGGACAGATCAACAGATTTGTGACCCATAAACTGCTACCCATTAGTGATTAGTGAGGACTATTATCACAGAAATCAGGTCAGATCCACAGGTTTGTGACCCATAAACTGCTACCCATTAGTGATTAGTGAGGACTATTTTCACAGAAATCAGGACAGATCTATAGGTTTCTGACCAATAAACTGCTACCCATTAGTAATTAGTGAGGACTATCATCACAGCACTCAGGACAGATCCACAGGTTTGTGACACATTAGAATGTTAGGTTAATTACTTTTTTGTTGTTGCTGGCTCCAACATCTTTTCAGACAAAATAAATATTACCTGTTAAGATCACATAATTAGACATTATACAATCTTCTCAAACAAGCATGTGCCGTTTCCATAGTGTAGGTTGGCTGCAGTAGATATCAACATACTATATTTCTTACTCAGGATGTATACTCTCAGACTGCTGTTTAGCCATTTCTTAATGCCGTCTTTCCATTCAATTTGCTGTCTATCATTTGTCCATTTTTTCCTTAATTGTTACCCTATTGTAGGCATTTTATTAAAAAGTGTTAACTTTTAAAGTAGCCAAATTATTTCACTTGCACTTAATATTTTTAGCTTGCAAATAAAACTTTTTTTTTTTTAAATTATTATTCATAGTCTCCACAAAAACTCTGTAACTGAAAGTTGGCTATGAGACAGAGTTTAACATAAATTTGCATAGTGAATAATGTTACACTGTCTTTACCTTCTCTGCATTCACAGTGAATGTCATCCTCTGAGCTAAGAGTTTTAACACAAAGAGCCCCATTTAGACAAGCACCTGCTTCACATGGGTCCACCACAAATTCACAGTTGTGTCCAGTATATTCAGACTGTGCAAAAAAACAATAACAATAATATATACAAGAGTTACATTACATGAAGACCTTAGACTGAGCTATTATTGAGCTCAATACAACACTGTATTAACAAATCAAAAATGAAAACAGGAACACTCAAACTGTTTATATTCCTTTCTAAACCTAAAATTGAACACTAAAATATACTAAACTTAGCAATCTATACTCATGATTATTTTTTTTTAACTGGATAATAATATGCTGCTACTCTCTGGTGCATGTCAAAAGTGAGATAGCCATCTTTAAATGTCATTCTGACATCACCGTGTCCACCTTTACCATGAGGCTACATGCATCAAACTCTTTACATCCTTAACAACAATACTGATGGGTTACAAGACAATGGGATGGTTATTGTAATTTCTATCACACTTTGGTGGTTTTTCATTTGAAGCCTCCTCGTATAATCATATCCAAGGTGTCCACAACACTTCTTTGCTCAGCTTCATGCAGATCAACCCCTACATCTTTTTTTCCAGACACCATGACTTGATCAATGTTCTTTCTAAGTCACTGAAGTGTTTAATACAGTCAGTCTTCCAGTTTTTATATCAAGATGCTGTTTATGACAGAAAGTTGCACATAATTTAATTAACTGACAAAATGTTCATCCAAAATAATGGTCTCCAACCTGAGGAGGGGTTGGGGTGGTGGGGGCAAAAAGGTTTCAAGGGAAGCTTCAAGTAATTTTGAAATTCAGTGCATTTGTATTTGTATTTGTAGTAATCTATTATGGTTAGTTGCGTATCCTTTACAGGACATCACAGGACCAACCCCAACAGCCCCTGGCTGTTGTATGGTTTTTCTAAGCAAATTTACATCCAGTAGTTTGCCATTGCTTTCTGGACAGTCATCTTTCTTGATACCACTGTCGAAACCAACACAAGGCGCATGGCCCGCAGTTGGGATCGAACCCGGCATCCTGCCATTATGAAGCGTTCGCATCGACTTAGCCATAGAGACAACAGTAATCTATTATAGTTTTTTTTTTTCAGTTTAATCACAAATAAAATGATAAAATATTTTTTAAAAAGATTTCATAAAACAGAAAGCCAAGGACATTTATTTGTTTGTTTTCATTAGCAGTTTGTATATCTACAGTTAAAAGTCTAATTAATATGATAACAAAAGCATTTCCTCTCCTCTAACCAAAACATATCTCGAGATTGTCTGTTTATGTTGTTGTGGAATCTATTATTTTTATTTATTATTTGTATTCAAATTTTGTTATGTTGGTGGGCAGGGGGCAAAGGGGGTGGGAGCAGGGATGGGGGTATTGCCATTTACTCAATGGTGTACGGGGGTCTTAAACAATATGCTCAAGGGTGCCCTGGGCGTCTTGCCACTCAAGGGGGATGCAGGGGTTTTGTCATATACTCGGTGGAAGGGGGAGATGCGACCGAAAAAGGTTGAAGACTACTGATCTAAAACATCAAAAGACATACCAGACAGAAGCATCTGTAGGAATTAATGCCATCCAGACACACACCATTATTTAAACAAGGAGAACTGGAACAGTCATCGATGTTAACTTCACACAGATCACCAGTGAAACCTGATCAAGAAAACAAAGCGATCAATATAAAGTGTTTAATATATATTAATTATTAAGAACCTAAGTTAACTCTTTTAGACCCATAAGATGCTGCAGTGTATGTTGATTTGGGGCCAGAACCAGTAGGGAAAATGATAAAGCATTACTTTTAAAGAGACCAGAGGAATAGTGAAAGTGACCACTTGTAAAGCCATATTTCTTCAGAAGTCAAAATCAATATTTTAAAAAAAGAGTAAGAGTATGTGTTACATGAAAACTGGGATTCAAGGATACAAAAAAAAAATCATAATGGACTGTCGGAGACAGAAGGAGTTAAGATGCATGCTTAAAGACTTAAGAATTAAAAAAACTATAAAAAAAAAAGAGTAATAATCTGTAACTGTATTTTAATCATACTTCATTATATTGTTCTCAATCAATCAGGTGCCGTCTCCACAATGAAGGTTGGCTGCAATGGATCTCCAACAAGCCCTGTCTCTTGCCCTTGATGTACACTCACTCATACTGCTATTCGTCCATCTCTTGATGTTATCCTCCCACTTGTAACGCTGTCTGCCTTTTGCTCGCCTACCTTGAACCTTTCCCTCTAGGATGATCTTTACAATACTGTTATGTCTTTTAATGTGGCCAAAATATTTCACTTGTCTCTTTTTTAGTTCACCTAGCAACTCTCTTTTCATTCCCAATTTCCACAGTACCTCTGTATTTGATAGCTTTTATTTCCATGAAATACGACCTAATCTTCTGTATATCCACATCTCCAAAGAATTGATACGATTTTCCAGTTGTCTGTTCATTGTCCATGTCTCTGTGCCATACAGTAAGGTTGAGAATCCATAACATTTGACAATTCTCATTTTTAATGTATTGCTTATTTCTCTTGATGTCAGTAACTTTTGCATGTTGTTGAAAATGTTTTTGGCCATCCCTATTCTTTTTTTGACTTTTGTTTCACTTCTGCCGTCACATGTTATTACTTGTCCAAGATATAAGAAATTTTTAACTTGTTCCAATTTCACCCCGTTCACTGTGATATTCATTGTTAGCTGATTATTTTCTTTGCTAAATATCATGGTTTTTGTCTTTATCAAATTTATATCTAATCCTTCTGTTTACTTGCTCCACTAGGTCTTGCAACTCATGCTCACTCTCTGCTAGCAACACTGAGTCGTCAGCATATCTCAGATTGTTTATTATTCTACCATTGATGTGCAGTCCTGGTAATTCTACAATTTCTTTAAAAATGGTTTCTGTTCATAAGTTGAAAAGGCTATATTGTTCTAATACAGTATTATTCATTGTAAGAGTGTCACAAATAAAGATTTCTGTATATCTGCTCAACAGGGGTATAGTGTGTCTGCGGCTGAGGCAACCAGAAGAGACAAAATGTAGAATCTAATATCTCCAGTGTATCTGTGGTTGAGGCAGTCAGAAGAGCCATATGTAGAATATAATATCTTCAGTGTATCTGTGGTTGAGGCAGTCAGAAGAGCCATATGTAGAATATAATATGCCCAGTGTTGTTGTGGTTGAGGCAATCAGAAGAGCCATATGTAGAATATTATATCTCCAGTGTATCTGTGGCTGAGGCAGTCAGAAGAGCCATATGTAGAATACAATTTCTTCAATGTATCTGTGGCAGAGGCAGTCAGAAGAGCCAAATGTAGAATATAATATCTTCAGTGTATCTGTGGTTGAGGTAGTCAGAAGAGCCAAATGTAGAATATTTCTCCTTTGACACGAGACCAGTAAAGATAAAGAGGTAATGTACATAAAGTTTAAAGGTTAAATTCGAGAGGACCAACTTCACTGCACCGGGTTTTATCCCATATGGCCCAGTCTCTTTCCGCAGAACAGCTAGCCACCTCCTGAGAGCATTACAAAGAGCATGAACTCCGTAGCTCCAGCAACAGTCCCCAGGGATCTCCGTAAAAATTGAACGCATAAACTGAATTAGCAGACGTTAAATAAACCCACGACCTTCAGAGCGCAAAGCTTGATCGCTCCACCACCGAGACCCCAGGTAACATACACACATATATACACATATAAGGATTTATTCTGGAGATGATCTGAGCACTTATGGACATATCTAGAGTGTCATGTCTTGAGATATATTGGGTGTATGGATGCTATGGTTTGGGTCTTACTTCCCAAGTAATTTTATGTTACTCATTTTAGACTGGAAAACATTCCAGTTATTGAGAACAGCTTATAGTGATGAACTTTTGTCTTCAGTCAAAGCTTCAGTTGGCATACATCATTCAGAGGTAGAAAAGAGAGTGTTGAGAATAGTATGCTACACTTCTTTCAACTTCAGTAACTAAGAACAGTGTGTCTCATGTGAAGGTTATACTGGACAGGAATCAATACTTTAATGCATTAATGAATGAAGAACTGACATTCCTGTTTTGGAGACATTCCGATCTGTGCTCCGTCTCCTTCTTCAGTAGCCAGCAAAGAGTCGATATGCACTAAGTACTGGTTGCAACTTGATTAAAAATCTGCCTATTTTTTCCTTGCAGTGGTGAATATCTTCTGAACTCCTGCTCACCTTTCGCTGAATTAGTCTGTCAATGTATGGGTACTTGGTTTTTCTGTTGACCTGCCCACTTAATCCCAGAGAGCCCTCACCACTTCCGCTTTATCATAACATAGTTCACCAAACACCGCAGCAGCCAATCTATCAGCTTGCTCATTACCCTCATTCATGTGTAAAGAGGCAGGCTACTTAAAATGGATATCCGCCTAATCTTTCCAATCATTACTGAAGATCTGCACACAGGAAGACTGTGTGTAAATCTAACCCTGAAGAACTAGAGCAAAATAAAAGGGCCATCATGTGTTGGCTGTCTATTTTGAAGTGACGGAAATGCAAATGCAAGTCAGTTGATGTTCCAATGTTGCTGCAGACAAGTAATCTTATAACTGATCCTTCCTGTGCCAGCGGAAATCACACCAAATTTTCTTGACTGTCCAATTTGAAAACTATTGATTAACATATCAGTCCCGGTAGTATCAGAAAGCTAACACACACAAAGCAAATGCATAAAAACAGCCATTAGATGTGCCAACTCTAACAGTCTCCCACCAGAAATGCAGCTCACAATTAAGCCACCAGCAAAATTAAATGCACAAATGGCACATTTAATGTTTATTAACTGTGCTAAATGAAATGCACTTGAATTAGAGGTATGTAGTAAAATAATCTAAGTTATATAGTTGAATGCACCTAAAAATTACTTAAATAACTAAATGTCTCTAAATTAAACTTATAATGCATGCCCTAACAACACTTGTATGTATAAGCAAATAATCACCTCTATTAACAAACAATAACGAAAAGTAATATCCACAGGAAACAAACAACTCACCTTCAGGACATAAACATTTCAGTGTCTTAGTATCACGGATGCACAGTCCCCCATTGTGACAGTTGTTGACTTCACACTGATCCATTCTCACATCACAATATTTACCCATGAAGTCTTCTGGCTTAGATTAATGAAGCAATTTGTATTATAAGAGCATTTTTTTTTTTAACATTCTGATTACACTATTATCAATAAAAGAATAAATGAATGAATTAATGAATCTATGCCTGTAAAATATTCTAACTTACTCAAGACTTCAGAAAACAATTTTTTTCATGCGGGTTATAGGGCCCCATTTTTGGGAGGGGGGGGGTGGGGGGGGGGGGGGGGGGGGGAATAGACACACTGGCCCTCACTAGCTTGTCATAAAAGGAAACTAGTTAATAGTTTGCTAAGACTGGATGTGTTGGGTTGAAAAGTGCAGATATCACAGCAAAACAAACAGACTGGCACTAGAAAGGTGGTTTATCAACCAATGGAAGCAACAGTTACAACAAATCAGCAGTTGCACATGCAATTAATCGCACATAAGGCACCACCAATTCTGCAGCAACCAAGCCACTCACCATTTTATAAATCTGAAGTTCAAAACACAAACTTGGGTACAGTTAAAAAACACTACAAATGAAATCTGCAGCTCACAGTGTTTTGCACTATGCACTCAACTCAGTAGCTGGGTGATACAACTATATACTTTCAGTCCAAATATTGTGGAATATACAATAAACAACCATAGTCAGAAGCAAAAAACTTGCAAGAACTAAAATCAGCCAGCTAGTCTCTCTGCTATATTTTTTTTTTTAAATCCAGAAACCATGAGTTGTTAACCCTTTAGCTCGGCACTATGGATATCGCAACCCTTCGGTCTTGATTCCATGATAAATACTGTAAATCTCGGAGAAATGTGGCTTTTCTGCCTACCCCCGGGCGTGAACCCAGACCACAAGGAGTTGGTCACCCGGTCGTCGTGCAGTCCGCTTTAGCCAACTATGCTAGTGAGCCGGGCAACTTTCTGCTATATAAGATCAGTAACCTTTTTTTTCTTCAAGTGGCTACAGCTAAGCTTTAATATCTATGCTTTTTGGCCAATACATTTCTGGAGGATGTTTAGTATTAATTACCAGCACATGAGGGAATTGATGGATATGAAATGGCAGACAGAGAAGCAAAAAAATGGCAGAATAAATAATAATAAAATACATGCAGCTGTAAGTAAGGATAATTTTAAATCAGTATTTTTTTTTAAATAACAGAAGAATGGAAAGAGATGGGGGATAGAAGCTAAAAGGGAAGACATGCCTACAGACTGTTTAAAGCTCCAACTAAAAAATGTCAAACAACTAGTGAATTAAAAATCCCATATTTCAATATATGATCTTGGCTCCAAGGTTGATCCAACCTTAAATGGGTACTAGGTACAATCCTGGGAAGTAAAAGTGGCCGATGTGGTGTTGACCACATCATCAAGTGAGTGCAGACTGGTCTATAAAATACACATCTAGCCCTATATGCCCAATATGCCTGAATGTATGGAAAAGGGTCCTTTACTTTACTTACTATTTCACTATAGCAAAAGACACCTGTTCTCAAAGTTACTATACTGCAAGAAATGTGAACTCCAAAGTTACTTAAAGTATATTAAACATAACCATCTCTACTCATTCACTCTGTTACAATTAGTACATAAAAGTATGCAATATTTAACAACCAAATACCATTGAAAAGCAATAAATATCCATTTGTTAGTTGTGTATCCTTTACAGGATGTTGCAGAACCAACCCCAACAGCCCCTGGCTGTTTTTTTTTTCTAGGCAAATTTACGTCTGGACGGTCGGGTTTCTTGATACCATTGCCGAAACCAACGCAAGGCGCATGGCCCGCAGCTGGGATCGAACCCGGCATCCCGGCACTACGAAGCGTTTGCATCGACTTAGCCACAGAGCCGACAAATATTCATTACCAAAACAAAATAAAAGCACTCTATACATTCTAATTATAACCCAGATGGGGTGAACAGGATATTGCTGCTTAAGTTACTACTACCACATTTCAAAATACCTTAATTAGTTGCCTTTGATGACCTATGCTTGTATGTTACTATTTATCTGTAATACTACAGCTTATTGCCAGTAGTACCACTGCTATTGCTAGACATGATCTTGGTCTTGAATCTAAACAGAGTTGTATTTTGTTTGAAAAAATGAACTGAGCTGCCAGGCAGACTCTGCCTAAAATGGGTACATCTCCCATCGTGCCAACTGGTATTTAAAATTATTAGTAAGGCATCATACGTGCAATAGAAAACTGGCCTAAAATGGGTCCTTTGCTTACCACTACTGTACGATATGCAGACTCATTTGAAGACATTTTTAAAGTTTTAGTGCTTTAATGTGTTCACAATCGGGCCAGTATCATTACAAATATTATAATAATTTGTTTACTAGCACTTTTCCGTCTTTTCTGATTGTAGTATTTTACTGTGTTACAGGAAGGCATAGGAATCAGTTCAGTGGTTACTAAACTATCATTATAATGATGATTACTATGAATAGATGCAAAAACGCTTGTTCTAAATGAAACTGAAAGAAGATAAACATAAGAAACAAATAAAATAGCCACTGAATCTTATAATATATGAAATTCATTTTAATTTTAGACTGAGGAGAAAAGTTAATGATGAGTAGGTAGACGGAAAGTAGCAATAGTACCTACTAAACTGACAAACAATTAATAAACTTTTTTTCACTTACACATATACAGTGAAAGCCAACAAGGTCATCAACACAAACTCCCTCATTGTAGCAGATGACCCCAACACAGTTGTCTATTTTCATATGGCACCTGTATATTTTTGAAAATTTATTAAAATAATGGGTTTTTCTTACAGCTAATTTTCAGCTATTAACAGCAACCAAACACAACATTTTAATTTCCAGGACGATGAATTGATTAAATTATTTTGTAAAGTATATTTCTTATGTATATTTCTAATTATTTTGTTACACTATGAGTATTGAAAAATACAAACTACTTCATATATAGCTCTTACAATAGTAACAGTTGCCTTTTCAATTAATCAAGGAATAAATATGTGACAAACTGAAAGTACACATAGTAATTCAAACAACAACTTATCTCCCGCCGCTCACCTTTTTCCATGATAGCCACTGTAGCAAGAGCAGTTGAATCCTGTTGCTGTATTTGTGCAGTAGCCATACACACAGGGATTGGATAAACAGTGATCTAGCTCTGACAATGGGGAACAGGTGGTGCCAGTAAAACCTATGACAGAATAGAATACATGAGAAAGAATAACTGGTGATTAGCAACTGCCTCTGTTTTGTTACACCAATGCAGTCAACATGCAGATATAAATTATGAGGGTATGATAATTTTGTGTTATATTATCTAATATATTAGTTGTCTCTTAACACTTTACAGCAGTGATTCCCAACTATTTTGGCCTGCAGAGCCCTTTTTAGAATCAATTTCTGTGGCTGAGCCTCTTAGGCCTAGATTGTGCCCTTTGTCTTACAAGTCAGTAGTGTTCAGAAATAAACGTGACATAAAAATATGAGGCAGGCCTGCTACCCCTCATTCAATTTCATTTCATTCAATTTCTTTTCATTCAATTTGCAAAATTCAAACCCTGGAGCCCCTGTAAAGTGCATGCTTAGCACCAGCTAGGAACCGATTCTCTAAGGATGAGTCTTTGAACTCCATCTGTACAACTTTCCACTATTTGTGGCATGGGATTTTTCAGGTATGCATGTACCTACATACCCTGAGGTTCAGCACCATATGTTTTGTGCTTTGCTTTTTTTCAGTCATTTTTAATTAAAAGTGCCATATTTCCAGCATAGGATGCTTCACCCAGGGTAAACAATGAATGAGTCATTGACAGCTTAAACCCTCACTATGCTCACCCTGGCTCGGCTACCTACCATCTATTACATAGTGGGTCGGAATGGTACAAAGAACATATTGACAAAAGAAGTAGAAAATATCATTAGCAAATATTTTATGTATTCTGGTAGACAAAACTAGTCCTTCTTTCTTCTTCTTTTCTCCACTTCTGGAATGCCTCGCAGTGTCAGGTGGGCAGAGATTTCTGAAAAGGGCCCTTCTGTTCACTTCATTTAGAGTACTTTTCAGTGTCTCTGACATTTCTGTGGTACATCTTATGTGTTGTCGACCTCTGGCTCTGTTATCATTGTATCTGTAAAACATTGCTTCCAATGGTGCCCTGTCAGATGCCAGTCTTGTTACATGGCCAAACCTTTTGATTTGTTGTCTACCTATAAAGTTTAGAACTGGTTCTGTGCCAACTTTCCTTCAGATATTATTGTTCCTAAGTCGAGCCTTCCTCATTACACCCAGCATAGTATGTAAACATTTCATTTCTATTGTGAATATTTTCCTTCTGTCTTCTAAAGACAGTGTCCATGTTTGACATTGATAGCAAAGAGTTGGTAAGAATATTTGCCTGCTTTAACTGGTGTTCATGAACTTTGATATTGGTGGTTCTTCCTTTTCTTGAGAATGTCATCACTTCTGTTCTGTCTATGTTGATCTTCATATCACAGCTCTCACATTCTGAGTGGAGTCTATTATTACGTTGTTGTAGTTGTACTGCAGTTAGTGCTATGATTGCCTGGTCATCGGCGAAAAACAATTCATTTAGTAATCATCCAATGTTGTCCCCCTCACTGATTTTAGCTGATTTGCAAATTTGGTCAACATATGTGATGAAAAGAGGTGGTGATAAAACGCATTCCTGTCTCACTCCAGATCTAATGTTGAACTTTTCTGACATTCCTGTATTTGTTCTACCTGCGTTCTGCATGCCTAAATGCATTTTTAGTCATCCTGTGGCTTAATTAAAACAGACACGAAGGCAATACCCTTTTCATGAACACTGGGTCCACCCAAGGACATACTGACTAAAAAAAAAAAAAACTTGCCACTGTTAGGAATAGAAGCTGAACTTGATAACTGCCTCTGCAAGCCACAGTGTGAATCACTGAGCTACAGCAGCTTCAAACAACAACAAAAACAAGCTTATATAAAAGTGAGAGAGGGAAGTACCTAGTGGACAGGGACACACAGTTTTGTTGTCATAGTTCTGACATCTACTATTCGCACAGGACTGATTGTTACATAGTTCCATTTTCTCTTGACATATTTGACCTGGAGAAGAAATATTTAGAAGATATGAGGCACCGGTTACCTGACACTACTGATCATTTGGCAAATACTTTCCTATCAGAATATCACAGCCAGTTAAATAGACTAAATGAGTGTATAATAAGTGCATTCAGCCCATTAATATATATATATATATATATATATATATATATATATTATATATATATATATATATATATATATATATATATATTCATAAAACTTTAAAACAGCTACTTTGTAATTAACCTCAGAAGTTACATAAAATCAATCAATCAGTGAGGTGCTATCTCCACAATGAAGTTGGCTGCAGTGGATTTCGAACACACTCTGTCTCTTTCCTTAGTTATACACTCTTTCATGTAACATTGTCTACCTCTTGCTCTCTTGCCCTTTTCCTCCATTATGGTTTTTAAAAACATATTATGTCTTTTAATGTGCTTAATAATTTCAAATGACTGTTATTTATTTATTTCAATAATATTTTTTTTTTATTTGCAGTCTTTCCTGAACCTCTGCAATTTTTTTATTTTTTGGGGGGTTTTAGTAAAATACAACCTATTCTTCTGAATATCCACACTTTCAGACTCAATTTGATTTTCTAGTTGCCTGTTCATTGTCCAAGTTTATGCACTACACAGCATGGTTGAGGTATCCATAACGTTTAATGTTTTTTATTTTTAATTTTTAATGTGTTGTTTATCTCTACAGCTGTCATATTTTTCAATATATTTTTTAATAACATACATGATAGCTTCTTCTTCTTCTTTTCTTCCTCTTCTTCTTTTTCTTCTTCTGCATTTAGTCTTAAAAGACAGGTTGGCACATTGTGTTGCGGTTTAGAGCTAGGCAGTGATAACTCCACCTTTTAGAGCAACACATCTAATTTCAGCTAATGCCTAATTAGTTACCTTTCAAGACATGGTTGTTAGACTGGAAGTGGGTCTAATCTTTTCCCCTCAAACATTGGAGACTGGCAGTCAGTGTAATCTTTCCCCCTCAAACATTGGAGACTGGCAATCAGTCTAATCTTTTCCCCCTCAAACATTGGAGACTGGCAGTGGGTCTAATCTTTCCCCCTCAAACATTGGAGACTGGCAGTGGGTCTAATCTTTCCCCCTCAAACATTGGAGACTGGCAGTCAGTCTAATCTTTTTCCCCTCAAACATTAGAGACTGGCAGTGGGTCTAATCTTTCCCCCTCAAACATTGGAGACTGGCAGTCAGTCTAATCTTTTCCCCCTCAAACACTGAAGACTGGCAGTGGGTCTAATCTTTCCCCCCTCAAACACTGGAGACTGGCAGTGGGTCTAATCTTTTCCCCCTCAAACACTGGAGACTGGCAGTGGGTCTAATCTTTCCCCCTCAAACACTGGAGACTGGCAGTCAGTCTAATCTTTCCCCCTCAAACACTGGAGACTGGCAGTGGGTCTAATCTTTCCCCCTCAAACACTGGAGACTGGCAGTGGGTCTAATCTTTCCCCCTCAAACATTGGAGACTGGCAGTCAGTCTAATCTTTCCCCCTCAAACACTGGAGACTGGCAGTGGGTCTAATCTTTCCCCCTCAAACATTGGAGACTGGCAGTCAGTCTAATCTTTCCCCCTCAAACACTGGAGACTGGCAGTGGGTCTAATCTTTCCCCCTCAAACATTGGAGACTGGCAGTGGGTCTAATCTTTCTCCCTCAAACACTGAAGACTGGCAGTGGGTCTAATCTTTCCCCCCTCAAACACTGGAGACTGGCAGTGGGTCTAATCTTTTCCCCCTCAAACACTGGAGACTGGCAGTGGGTCTAATCTTTTCCCCCTCAAACACTGGAGACTGGCAGTGGGTCTAATCTTTTCCCCCTCAAACATTGGAGACTGGCAGTGGATCTAATCTTTTTCCTCTCAAACATTGGAGACTGGCAGTGGGTCTTATCCCCCCTCCCCTCCCCCCTAATATTGGAGACTGGTGGTGGATCTGATCTTTTCCCCCAAATATTGGACTCCAGAATCTATACTAGGCACAAAAACAATTGAATACTAGTACACACAAAATGAAGAACATTAAATGGGATGAATTCAAGACAGGTGAAGAAATGACAGAAATGTCTGACAACCACTTGAATCATCAACTAGACAACAAACCAGATATTAATATACTGGGCACATTCTACAGAGAAAATGGATCACTAAACAAGCACTGAAATGGGAGACAAATGAATGAGGAAATGAGCATGCCCAAGAAAAACCCTGACACAAACATTGATCAAGGGTCAACGGTGCTGGACTGGCTTCTATCCATGATACTGAGAGGACTGTACGGGATAGAATATATCAAGGACTAGTCTGCAAGGCCTAAAAGACAAATAACAGCAAAATAAGATGATGATAATGATGAAATATTACAATCAAATGATATCAGGTAGTCAGGTAATTGTATTTCCTAGCATGCCAGCAAACAGGTCACCCCACAGTTGCTCTGTTCCTGTGCCAACAACATGACTGATTGGCCCCTTTCCATCTTTCCTGACAATATTGTTATACTCAGCTATGAGGAGGCATGGGATTCACAGCCCACGGTTCAGCACCAGAAAGGCAGTTTATCATTGATGGAAGGAGCAGTTACAACAAATCAGTAGTTGCATACAGAATCAAATATACCAGATATCAAAGCATAAGGCTAATGGAATGTATGACCCAATGTAATGAGCTGATGACAATGTAAAAGCCTTTGACAGTGTAAAACATATTAAATATAGCTAGCTGTAGAGAACTTCACTGAAATGCAAAGCAATATGATACATGAACAAAAATTATTATCAAGATGATCACAAATATAAAAGGAGGCTGCATGGTCTTGATGTATGGTGTCCGCCTCGAGTGCTAGAGGTCCCGGGTTCAAGCCCAGGTAAAGGCTGGGATTTTTTCTGTTTACGTGGACTTCTAGTAATTTCCCCTGGTCTCTGGGTAGTGAGATCGGACGCCCGTGTGTATTGTTGAGCACGTAAAAAAAAACCTTGGCAGTTGGACATTGAAAAGAGTAGCCTAACAGCACAAAATTTGGAGTTAAAGATCTACCCAAAATATTTCAGAATCCTCACCGCGCTACGGAGCCCGTGCACTGTGTTGAGCTACTTCGGACTCAGGCTTGAGTTAGAAGTTAAGCAAGTACTTATGGGTTACTATTCGTGTGCCATGATGTTGATCCATTGTTCAAACCTCAAACCTCACAAATATAAACTGACCAAAACGTAAGAAATGCATAACCTACACAACTTAGAATACTTTTTTTTTTCTAATGTGGAAAAAGTTTGATCATTATTTTTTTTTAAATCACAGTGAATCAGCTCATATTCTGTTATTTAGATGTGAAACAAAACTTACCTTTGAAACCAGGCAAGCATTCACAGACAAAACTGTCACCATAAGGCTTGCAATGAGAGCCTTTCTGGCATGGATTATTTTGACATGGATCGTGTACTAGAGGGAGAAAAATTAAAAAAAAATAAGGCTTAATCTTAAAAACACCAAACTTAATCTATCAATTCTTGTATCACAATATTTTAACAACTGATTTAGATGGCTAATATACTGAAAAAAATTGTTTTAAAACACAGTCTTATAGAATCTTTATATAATGAGATAGCTTAACTTTAGGCAGACTGTGATGGGAGCGACGATCTGCAAAGGACCTGCCACATGATGATGACAGCAACCTTAATCAAAAATTGCCATGTACTCAACAACTAAAGTTAGATGATCATTTTATACCACATGAAAATGATGTTCAGTTGCAATGAGTCTCCAACATATTCATTCTTGCACTTTCACATCTTCAAGGTGCTTTTATACTGGCTTGAGTTAAGGTAAGTCAAGCACTTACATCAAAGGACTCAGAAAATGTCCATAAGTGCTCTGTAATCATCTTCCCAAGTCAGCAAAGATTTATAAGAGTTATTGCCAAAACTATAGTGTTTTTTCCATACTCAGTACTATGTTCAACTGTTTTATATAGGCTTGGTATAGCCTGCCTTTGGTACAGCCAACCTTGAATATATCTTTGTGACAAACACCCCTTGTTCTTTCCATTTGTAGACTGGAAGGATATAGTTTCGTCGCCCAGCTTCTGAGTTGAGTGCATGGCGTGACACTGTGAGCTACGTGTGTTTTTCGTTGGCACAGAAGCGGAGCAACTATGGGGTGACCCGTTTGCTATGAAGCTGAAACTAGGATTACCAGATTACACATTGAAGAGCATAGGCGCTAATGGTGATCCCTGGGGTAGAACCACTAGAACGCTTTGAGGTTCGGATGCCCATTCACCACATCGAAGCGACACTGTTCTTTCAAATAGCACTGCTGTGATCCAGTTAACCAGTTTGGTTTCTATCTGCGTATCCAACAGCTGTGACTATTTACAGGGTCAAACAATCTTGTTTGACCTTGATCTTTTTCAGGAAGGTTTTCATAACAATACTGCTTTCAATAATCCATTTATGTAATCCCATTTCCCACTTTTTAATTTTTTTTTTTTTATTTGTATTATTTCATGATTTTTTAAATCTCTGCACTATGCAAAAATGAAGAGAAAATGTACATTTAACTCTTGTTAGAGGCAAATTAACTCTTAATGTAATGTGCAACTTATCTCTTTAACTGTGAGAAGTTTTATGTGAGAATCAACATCATATCATTCAGTGCATTCTTATAAACACTCCATTCCACTGTCAGCAGCCAGTGTAGAATGTCCACACAAATGTGCCAGCTGCAGTCTGATTATATATCTATCTTGCCTCTCCTCTGAGCACTGTTTATACTAGATCCTCTGGTCATTCCCTTTTGCATAATTCTTTCCAGACTGGTTATCTTTCCATCTTGTACATTATTCAAATGCTCCCAAAAGATAAATGCAACAGCTCACTATCAGCAATATGGAGAATAAGTGTTGAAAAAAACAGACATGAAAATGTGAACAATCAAGCATACCTTCACAATGAGCCATGTTCCAGCTTCCAGCTCTCAATGTCACCTTATTATCTGGACATTTGAGACAGGTGGTGCTACCATTAATTTGGCTGTAATAGTTCTTTGGGCATGGTGTACAGGGAATAGCTCCGTCTGAGCTATATTCTCCGGGAACACACAGTTCTATAGAAAGAAAATACACACACAAGGTCAGTGAAACAAATTTCTTTTCAGAACTGCCATTACTGCCTGTATTGTATAAACTTTGTGGTGTACACAGGTTAATCTTTGAGCCTGAGGATTCATAATTGCATGGCTAATGTTGTCATGCTGGACTGTGTAGTTTGATTTGATTTTTGCTCCTGACAGAAAAAATCTTACAATCTTACAGTGGATTCTAGCCTGGGTCTTTATCAATAGCGCCAGTGTTCGGTTCTTTATTAATATCCTACCCCAGATGACATCACAGGACAGTCCAACATTTTAGAGGGTGGCACAACTGGGTTTCCCAGCTTTCTGCTGCTTTTAACGACCCCCAAAACATCTAGAACTGGCCCTAACCCTAACCCAAATACGTCCTACGAGAGAGTGCAGCCTAGGTCCCACCACTACATGCAGCCTAGTTCCGACCACTGCATGCAGCCTATCTACCAACCCCTGAAATATTAGACTGTCCCTGGACCTGTAGATTTCCCATGTTTGGGGTAGGATATTAATAAAGCACCCAGTGTTCTTAACCATTCATATAGCTGCTCCTCAACATGGCATGATAGTTTAATTGATTACCTACACTTAGCATTAATGTATTTTGGAGATAGAGGAACAATGTTTTGTTAAAGGAAGTCAAATCCACTATTTATTTATGTATGTATGGCATACAGAGCAGGTGTATATGCATTTTTCTGAGGAAGACTGAGCAATAATTTTTTGGTCTAAAAGAGACGAAGCAATTCTTGTTAATTTACGGAAGATGGATAAACTATGTAATTGTTTGAGGGAGCTGGAGCAACCATGTGTTTCTATAAACCAGCGTGTTTGTATGTGAATGATGGAGCAACACTATGCACTAAGGAAGGTAGAGAATTTTTAGTTTCTCAACTGAGACAGAGTAACTGTGCATTTATCAGAAGGAGGTAACTATGCTAGTAATCCTAAAATGCAACAACAAAATGTCTTGGACTACAACATTCTTATGATAAAAAGGTGATACAAAAACGTTCTCACTAACTTTTACAGTAAAGACTAAGCAATCTTCCATCACTGTCAAAATCACAGGCATCACAATCCATAGAGCCAGGTTTTGGTTGATGAGTTCCCAGAGAACATGGCAAACAAGGTTCTAGTCCAGTCACGGAGAAATGATTGGATTTACATTTCGCTGCAGATGTTAGGTTAAAATGAATATTAATTTCATGTTTTCAGATATAAGGTTAAGAGGAGTGTTTACATAATTATTATAATGGTACTATCATATTTTGTGTGGCTAAAATTAGAACCATAGATGCAAAATATAACAATTTTTTTTTAAAGTTAGTCGTGTATTCTTTACATGACACTGCAGAACCAACCCAAGCATTTTTTGGGAGGCTGGTGTGATTTTTCTAGGCAAATTTTTCATTCAGTAGTCTTCCACTGCTTTCTGAATGGTCAGCTCTCAGTACCAGCTGTAGACGGTTTGTCTTGCATTGATTTTGAACTCGGTACCATGGCATTAAAAAGCACATTCACCACGCCTAAGCCACAGAAAGTACACTTTAAATATATATTAAAACTGATCTATATTCCTGCAGTCTGTTACAATTAAAAGATAATCTATGCATGATTAATTAACCAAAGTAACTGACAAGAATAAATATCTAGCACTAAAAAATATTTAAAAAGTGTAAATAAACTCTATTTATTCCAATTATTATCCATATAGGTTTAACTGAATATTGTTGTTTAATTTATTACTCTTACTATCACTACTCATCATTATGTAGCTGATCCTGTGCAATGCAAAACTCGCATTCATCATGGTCATCACATAATCTGTTGTTTGGGATAAAAAGAGCTTAAACATACACTACAATAGGGCTGTAATTAGCTAGGAGCAGGATATATCTAGATAATGGTTTTATGAGGATTAATAATAAACCGCCTTCCTCATTTCCTCTCCTTTTGTGACAGGTACTTATGTTATGCCTTGGTGTATCCAAGCGATTCCATAACTTAGTATCCAGTTGATCAGCTGTGACTCCTTACATGGTCAAACAATCTTACCTCACCTTAATCTTTTTCAGGAAGGTTTTCATCACAATATGCTTTTTTTTTTTTAACCTCTCCTGACATTCTATAATCTATGGCCACAGAAGAGCCACCGGATAACAGCTGCCCAGATATTCAAAAACAGTGAACAGAAAAGAATAAAAATACTTACCAATGCATTCATCTTTATCTCGAGCCCCCTCATGTAAAGTAGAATATCCATTGGTACAATTTATGCATTCACTTGAACCTGGTGAATTCTGGAATGTTCCGATTGGGCATTCAAGACACTTTGGCTCTGTGCTATACTGTCCTTGAGGACATCCAACTGTGGGATTGTAAAATATGCAGTTGCAAAAAATACAAAAATAAAAATGTGATTTCTATTTGTAACAGAATAGTTCTATGGAAGTAAGCATACAAGTAAAGATCTATTTCCATGCTTGAAGAAGATTGGGTAACTGGTTTAAAAAAAAAATTAAGGAAAATTTTTACACCAGCCGTACAAAACCTAAACAATGAAAGTTAGTAGAGCCCCTGGCCCATAACATATATATGAACAGTTCCCATCTGAATCATGTTAGGAATTTAAATATCTATGAAGTATGACCATGGAAGTTAGCAGAATTGACAGAGGAATAGAAACCATTTTTCACCATTATTAGGACATCCAAACATAACTATGAGTGCATATTCATTCCAACATTAAGCTACCAGTGCCAAACATGGACACTGTCTAAAGCCCAAGTACACAAAGTCACCACTTGCGAGATGACACCTTGTACTAGATTCATCGAGAAACAGCAGATTAAGTTGTCTGGCCATATTGTTAGGATGCAACAAGATCAAATACCAGCTAAAGAGCAAGAGGACGGCCGCAAAAAAGTTGGATTAACAACATTAAAGACACTCTATGCCTTCATGGCATAACAAAAGCCAATGGCAGCAAACATGCACTGGATCACAAATTATTTCTCCATACGTAGCCTAACATGAAAAGTGGTTGATGATAATGATGATGATGATATTGATTATGGTACATAGGGCACATAATGCAAGACTCATATTTTATAGACCAGTCAGGACTCTGTAGGTGATGTAGTCAACATTTCCCTACTTGCCTTTACTTCTCAGGAGATTCTCATCAATCAGCAGGTTCTTTAGAGAACGTCACTTTGTCCCAGCACGTGTGAATGTCTCTCTCTTTTTCTAGCCAATTCTCCAACTCTATATGCTTTCATAGCCAATGCATCTCTAATATCCGGTATCCATCTTTGTGGAGGTCTGCATCAGCCTCATCTTCCTGTAACTAACTGTATCCTCTATGGCTGCTCTCTCCAGATGGCCACGACTGAACATGAAATGTGCCTAGAACTTGCAGGTTAGGGTCACTATTTCCACCCCTAACAGAAAAAAATAAGTCCATCAGCTTTCCAAGGGTCTGAACCCGGCTCTCCCACAAGAGCCCAGGATCCTAACCACATCAATGTAATGTCCTAGCTATCTGCTAGTTATTTCTTCCACTCAAGTAAGAGCTAGATTATGAACCTTTTATCTTTGTCAAACTCACAAGTGATCAGTCTCACTCATCATCATCATCATCAGGTGCCTTGCCGACTGGCGTGGGCGATCATGCCTCTCCATAATCCGCGATCTCCTGCAGCATGTATCAGTTCGTGTGTCGACACACCTCCATGCCATGCAACAAGACTGTCAAGCATCTTCTCTCGTTGTCTTCCTCTATCCCTCCTTCCACAGATCTTTCCAGTGGTCACAACATGTTCTATTTTCCCTCTTCTCATAACATGGCCGAAAAATGATGACTGTCTCCTTCTGATGTCAGTGATAAGTTGTCTTCGGGCTCCCGCCTCTTTTAAAACCTCTTCGTTGCTCTTTTTGGCTGTCCAAGGTATTCTAAACATTTTTCTGTAAAACCACATCTATGAGGCCTCTAAAAATTGTTTGGCCTGCTTACCGATTGTCCAGGATTCAGTCTCACTCAGCAGGTATAAAATCAAATATAAGCTCAAGTCTGCACAGTTTATCTTAATGCAGCCAAGTACCTTGTTTGGCTGCAAGTTCCAGAACTTGTATATATTGCCACACTATTTAGGGCATACGCTACATTCAAGTTTGGTCAGATATGTTGTTTGCATTCATCGGCTCTAAACCCCGGCAGAAAGACCTGGTTGTTCATCCATTTCTGGACTTTGGCTTTGTTCCAAGACCTGAGTTTTGCGTGTGCATCTATTTTACAATCTGGCTTATTTGTATGCAGACTACTGGTTCCTTGCCTCTCAGGCAGAAGCACTCTGACTTTGAAGGAAGCCCCAAGTTAGTCGACTTTCTTACGACTTGCATAATGGGGCGGCAGTAGGTCTATTTTTGTTTTCCCCAAAATGGGACCCTGTAACCCACACGGGAAGTCATCAGATGTGACTCAGCTACCATATAAAAGCATTCAGTAGTACCTGTTCTCTGTTAAAGCATAATGTTGGGAGACGTATAACAAATTTAACATCCTATATTGTGTCAATGGCTTCAGTGAAGGAACACATTGGGAAGGACACTAGCTTTAACGTAGGAAGAAGAAATGCAATCTGAAAATTTCATGTTATGGCAAGGCAGACAAGGCCCTTAGCCTTGGCTGGCAGCTGGTCTATGTGGGAAGCTAAAAAAGGACAACAGACAGACCACTGCTCTTCTGATCCTGTAGCCTCTGCAGCATGCTTTGTTCTAAATGTATTGCTGTTACATTTTTTTCTAAGTAAACAAGGCAGACTGTGAGACATAATCATGCTGCATGAGCAACACATAGTCACTAAAATAATGTCCAAATATTGTGCTGTATAGAGGAGGTTACTTGCCATCGTCTATGATTTCCGTTACCTATTTATAGCACAATATAACACAAAAACAGAAGTCTTTGGATAAATATGCCTATGACCACTACACAGCATAGACTGAATGGAGAAGAAGATAATACCAATATTTAAAAAAAAAATTGGGGTGAGCCCAGTACCAGAGCATTATTTATGAGCTCTGCTTTTAATGGAAGCATCCTTGGATGGTGGCCAATGTTCATGTTCTGCCCTTGCCTTCTCTTTAGGGCTGACCAGCATTATGCGACACCTCTGGACCCCCTGATTTGGGGCACCATGTGTGACCTAGAAAACAAAGATGACCACACAACAATAAGACTGCAATGTCCCATGAAACTAACTAAGAAGGTTAACCCAGTCCACAAAAGGAGTGTCAGCCAAAAGGCATAAATATCCCAGCCATGCTGCAAATGGGCACAATGCAATTACACCTTCAGATGAACAGAGAAGAAAAAGAAATATTACGCTGCCTCATACTGGAGTCAGTAACCCAGAGTCACAAAGTCACATCATGCTTATTTTCACAGTACAAGAGAGTTACAGATGAACAGGAAACAGTTAAAGATAAACAGGAAACAGCTGCATGTAACAGTTTAACGAACTTACATCCTGATACCATACAGTTGGCTGAATCTGGCATGTTCTGAGAACTTTTCTTGGAACAGTTTTTACACTCAGGCTTTGACAAAAATGAACCAGCTGGACACTGATCTATTTGAAGATTGAAAATATTTAACCTTAGAAAAGAAAGACAATTAAAGTTTGAATAGCTAATACATGCTGTTGTAAAAAATAATGCAAACTGTTAATTAATACATGTGACGTGTGAGGTCGGGGGATGTACCAGCCACTTGCCAAATATCTAAGGGATTAGTATTGAAATGTCAGTCCTAGACACATACAATCAGGGTCTTCTCAGCTGAGGAACCATTGCCACCTATTCTCATTGGCATGGCACACATAACAAGTTAACAACCACAATATATCTGGCACAGGTTACATGTCCTATCATAATCACTAACATTGTTTATGAGTACTGTAATATAATACACCACGCCAAATAGGATCTTATAGTGCAATCAGTCTCTTTGTTATGAGCAAATACATTGCTATTAAAATAATTGATTTAATTTGATTTGATTCAAGAACCGACATCACAGCACTCGGGGCATTCCCATAAGCGCTCTGTCCCTATCTTCAGCAGCCAACGAAGAGTTCCAATACTTATGGTGCCAGTAGCATTCTGATTAAACATCCGTCTTGCCTTTCCTCTGAGCCTCGAGCATCTGCCAGAACCTCTCGTCACTCCCCGCTGCATCAATCTCACCAGACTGTGGTGATCAATCTGCTCCTCCGAAATGTACACGCTCTCCCACAAGGCACTAACCACGTCTGCCTTATCATGTAGCAGTATTCCACCAAGTTGTGCTGAGCCAGCCAGTCTGTCCACATGTTTATTTCCCAACACACCGGTATCCCCAGTGAAAAAATCCAGGCAATACTCCCTACCCGTGTCCTCCACAGCGAAGCATGTCACTCTTCATGAAGCATACCTTTTCTGATCTTCCTCAGCATGCTTTCTGAATCAGTTACAATTACGATGTGCATGTGAGTGGTGTTCTCTAGCCAGCAGAAAGCTGCAGTGACCGCCTCCACCTCCATTCTTAAACTGGATTTTGTTGTATCATATGCTAGGCTCTCCTGCACCAAACGTCAACCATTAACTTTTGCAAAGAAGCCCCAAGCACTTCTTTTGCCTCTTGACACTGAAATGTCTGTGTAAATGATCAAATCCTCTGAGCGAGCATTATCTTGAATTAACTGCTGAATTTCCACCTCTGTGGCACCTGCTGGCCAGTCTCTACATTCCCGGCTCAGTGTGATTATGACTCTACACAAGTCTGACTGTTCAAGTGGCACTTTGCCTCACTCTTCTCCTCGCCTAATATTCTCAAGGATGCAAACCTGTCTGATTGTGTCTTCTGCCTAAGCCATCCATGACCCTCTTATCACTCACTGATCCTTAACTGCATCCAGAGTTTCATGCAGAGGGTGGTCTGTGTCTGCAGCTACCCTAAGATATGACTTCACCTGCAGCACCTTGTGCCTCCCTGCAACCGTCGGCAAACCAAGGATGTATCGCATACACACCACTGGGGGGTCTCTGGTGCAGTCCAGAATGACCCGCATAGTCGTGTTCTGTATGCGCTCTAGTTTGTCCATCTGACTCTTTGAGACGGTAAGCAGTCCCAAGCCATAATCATCCACTGACAGGATCAGGTGCTGATATAGTGTGAAAAGCTGCTATGAAAATAAATTGGTGATCAAGGCCTCACTGTCAATCTACCACTCCTGCCAAGTACACACACATCAGCAGTCTCCAGAACATGGACAAAACACCCTAGCCAACCATGTACAAGGTCCCTGCTGCTACTTTAAATTTTCTTAGTGTAAAAGGCCATCATCATCATGAAGTGTTTTGCCAGCAGACATAGGCATTCATGCATCACCACAGATCTCAGTCTTTTGTGTTCTTGATCAACTCTACTGATGATATTTCTCTTTGCCACTGTCTTAAGCCATCCACCATCGTTTCCCTTGGTCTGCCTCTATCTCTTCTACTAGTGATCTTTCCAGTCATCACAATATTTACCGGTGCTCCTTTTCTCATCATATGACAAAAGAACTTTGTTTGTCTTCTTCTCATTGTAATATATAATATTCTACTTTCATTAGCCATTTCCAGGCATTCAGTGTTGGTTATTCTGGCAGTCCAAGGTATTCTCATCATTCTCCTCTAGAACTACATCTCAGTAGCTTTCAAACTCTTCTTAATTTTAAAAGGTAACCAGGTTATTATGTAACTGTCTAAATTGTTTCTTTTGAGACACAAATAGCTTCAAAGACAGATCAACAGACATTCGAATGCTACCACTGCAATGGAACTCTGAGCTATCTGATGAAGATGGGGATGCAGTGCTTATGGGATATATCCTAAGTGCTGTTATATTAGTTTTTAACTTAACTCAACTCTCATAAATACATAAAAAGTACATCACAAACATTACTCACAACACATGCCACTGACATAAGAAAATCCTCTGGGACAGGAGTCTTTCCCAGCTTTGGCAACTGGAGTGCTCAGCTTCAACTGACCACATGAACCAAGGAGAGTGTCGTTCAGCTGTATGTGGTTTAGTACTGCACTCCCGCACAGTTGAGGGGTGGTAGTTTTAGTCATGTTGTGAAATGCTGACTGAATGGAGATCTTCAGTTTTGCTGCCATCTTAAAAAAAAAAATATAAAAATAAAAATTATCTTTTAAAATAAAAAAAATAAAAATCAGTTATGTTTATTTTTTATTATTTCATTCTTTCACTTTTCTTGATCTCCTTCATCAACATCATTATCTTCTTCTTCTACTTATTCTTGTTCTGCTTTTCTTCTTATTATTATTTTTCTTTACTATATTTCCTAATGAAGCTTAGGCCCTCAACCAGCTCGTGCCAAGTTATTTTCCTTTTATTTACTTATAGTTAAATACTTTTTGTGGCTGTCTTGTTACTATTCTTTGCTACTCCTAAGGGCCCTGTTAACACTCAGGTTGCATAATACCTTTATTTTATTTTGTAAGGTTTGATCAGTGATTGTTAAAGAAATTTGATTTCCTCAACTGGCCATATCTGTGTAAATACTTTGCCCACTGGCACTTTCTTGTCTTTCCAGCCTATAGTGTGATATTGTGCTGTAGAGAGGCATGGAATCACAACCCACGGTAATGGCTAGTGTAACCAGCAAAACCCACTTACATTAAGAAAAGTCTTGTAGAAAGACCCACTCATATTAAGAAAGTCTTCCGTAATTAGAGCATGGAATTTCAGGACCACTGATGCCACAGCATGTGTTTAACTTGGCTTATTCTTAGACCCTAGGCTCTTAACCTATGTCTTCCTCGTGTTGGTTCTGGGTCCCCGTTATGGGGAAAACAAGAATAGATCCATTGCCTCCCCAACAAACACAGAAATGTTGTAGGAGTTGACAAAGTGTGGACTTCCTTCGAAGCAGAGTGCATTTGCCCAGGCGGCAAGAAACAAACAACTGGACATGAATAAGCCAGATGTACAGACAAAACTCAGACCCTGGCACAAAACTCAAGTCCAAATGGTTGAACAACCAGGACTTTCCACCAGAGCTTACAGCTAGTGAAAAATAAATCTATATCTAATCATTTCCTCCTTTATCTCTATATTCTTCCAGGTTTCTCCCTCCATGGCAACCTCTTCTCACAAAGCCACTGTGAGCTTTCTATTCTCCCAAACTCCTACTGTTAATTTTCTCACTGTTGTTCCTGCCTCACTTATCTCCATGTTAACTTCTTGGTCCAGGCATAGTGTGTTACTGACTGATGAATCTCAAGTATTAAAATGGTCAACTGACTCCTGCTATTCACCATCAGCGAAGACTGCAGGTCTATCACTAGCACTCTGTGCATATATTTAGCCTCTTTGAAAGTAATAAATCTAGCATCATATGCCTTAATGTGCCACTGGTTGAAAAAAAGAAAGGAAAAAAAAAGAGGTCCTTTAAATTTTACTTTGTTGTAAAGAGTGTTGACAAAACAAACTGAAAAAAAAAACACAAAAAACAGGGATCTTCAGCACAAAATAATTTTAAGTTCTGACATGAGTAAGAGCTATATTACCATAACAACAGGGCCTTTATGGAAAGCTCCAACACTGTCAATGTTAGTGAAGTTAAGATCTTGTGTAGCATTTAAGCATGCAGAAGAAAATCTCAGCTTCACAGATTCTATAACTGCATCTAGCATCTCCTTCAGACAATCTCCTGTAGTGTTGCCCTGGTAAGGTAAGTCAAAACTCAGGCGCACTTCAAAGTCTGGGAATCTGCTTTCTGAGATGTAAAAGAAAATGTGTATTATAAATAGATCTGTTCATTCCATACTCTGGGAATCTGTTTACTGAGATATACAAGAAAATGTATATTATAAATAGACCTGCCTATTCCATACTCTAGGAGTCTACCTGCAGATAAATGAGAAAAGTAATATTACGAATGATTTGGGAATGTGCCTTATACTACCATTACAAACTTTGATAAACAGATTTATTCAATTTATAGTCTGGGAATCAGCACAGAGAAACAACAGAATATACTTTTCGGAAAAAGAAACACATAGTTATCCCATGGCCATTTTTTTTTTAATTATTATCATTTGATGGGAAAACCCTTTGACTAAAGACTATCACAGACCCAGATGTAAAAAAACTGTCAACTGATTGGCTAAACCCTAAGATATTCTTGTGTGCAATTTGAACAATTTCAAAAATTAAACTACAAAGATTTAGAATGTCAAAATTATGTTTCTTTCAGTAGCTATGCAGTTTTTTCTAAATAGTAAAGCACCGTCAGATAACTGTGCATTTCTTGTTTTGAAAATTATACATTGTAATTTTGCTTACTACAGATTCTAAATCTGTCTGCAGAGCATTCTTAATAATTTAACAGATAATATACAATTTACCTATACACTCTAGCACTTTGTTATGTGGTTGCCAGATTCCAGACTTTCCACTACAGTTGTAGAACTCAGAAGGTTGCACTGCGAAACCTTTTCCTGCAGGGCAAGAAACTACACAAGACAGGTCCTTTTAAAAGAACAACAATGACATATTATTTTTATAATGTTAAATGAGCATGCACAATTTAGTCACTAATATAATTGTCATTATATGAAACCTTTAAAAATAAAAATAGTCCTATGCACACATATTAAAATAGTATATTTTAATTATTATAATTATTGTTCAGATTATCTTGAACATATATTTTCTTATGAGGAAGTGTCAACTGATGAATAAGGCTAAATGTTATCAATGCAAAATGGAGTCATTTACCAGTTAACTGTTTTTACAAAGCATGTTTCAAAATGTAATCTGGTTTATAAACAAATTTTGTACAAGTGACATAGGCCTAATATCTTGAATATAAGCCACACCCTATTTCTCATTAATGATTTTCAGTTAAAATACTGCGGTCAACACACGCATTAGTACAGTAATTAATTTATCGAACAATACTTTAATGGAAAAGACGACGGAATGTCATCTGTAACTAATTAATCCTAAATGGTTCTTATTTAGAATAGTCAGAACTTTTGTATTCAAACATTTGATGCTGCTTAATTTAGTTACAATTTCACATTTCAGTCCAATTCTTTAACAGAATTTACAATTCTGGCTTTATCCACTGGCTGACTCTCTGATGTAACCAGCCAGCCTTTTTTTCATTGTCCATGATGCCTACACATTATTTCATGTACAGGTTCAACAGAATATGTGTATTCTGAAGGTTCCTTGCATTTCCCTTACTTCAAGTACCATGCTGTTTGTAGTCAGGATGAATATCCCTCTCTATTTTCACCCTTTATCCTCCAGTGGAGCATGGGCACTCAACCAACTCACTAAGACGATGTCCTTTATTGTCATGTGCAGCTAGGCCCATGTTCTCTCCATTTTTCTCACCTCATCCTTATCTTCATTTATCGTTGGTCTGCCTTTATTCTTTTCACCCTGTAGGCTCCAATCTATATTGCACATTCCTATGACTGGTGTAGGTATACAGACAATATAAGTGTTTGAGGAGAACCATATTAAAGAGGCCTTTGCAGGTTCACCTGTACCCTTGATTCATCATACTATTTACTGAGTCTGTTTAGTTCATGATGCAATGATGTTGTAAAAGGAAATGTCTGCGAATGATATTGTTCCACCCAGACTTAGGCACTGTGCTCTGGTGACTCCTACTAAGTACACACTGAAGAGGTTCAATGGTGTCCTATCTAACTATATTAAATCATTTAATTAATCTTAAAAAGGTTTAGTTCCCCAAAAACAAAATATGGAAGCTAGTGTCTAAACAGTCAACTGGCAACTCATCGACCTGGCTGCTTCGAGATACTAAGCTAAGTGATTTTGTGTATTTGTGTGGTATTGTTCGATTATTTATGTGCTGATGAAAGCTCCATTGACGCAACGTTTACATTTTGTTTGTGTTTGCTATATTGTGAAGCTTGCAGATATATTTTCTGTTTGGTTTTATATCTTTCCCCAAAGCTCAACATTTGTGATTCTGTCATATCATTTGATTCCCTTATTCTATGCAGGCACCACCTGATGTAGTCTTTAGTAGTTATTTTATTCATTCTTTGTGTAAATATGTCAGTTAAAAGGTTAGTTGTGTTTCCTTTACAGGACGTTGCAGAACCAACCCCAACAGCCCCTGGCTGTTGTGTGGTTTTTTTCTAGGCAAATTTACATCCAGTAGTTTTGCCATTGCTTTCTGGACGGTCAGCTTTCTTGATACCACTGCTGAAACCAACGTAAGGCGCATGGCCCGCAGCTGGGATCAAACCCGGCATCCCGGCATTATGAAGCCTTCACATCGACTTAGCCACAGAGCCGACAAAATATGTTGGTAGCTTCCTGAATAATTCTTTCATCTAAGCATTGTCTAACCTCTTCTAATTTATTTATTTTTTTTTACTAGTATAAACTTATAATAAATACATGGCTCCTATATAACTGGCCCCCAAATGATCTTTAATAGCAGTAGACAGGTAGTTCTAACATTAAAAGTAAACTAAAGTCAATACCTTATCATTGTCCCCGGTAAGGACACAAGATTTCGAGCCTCCTACTGGCTGAGGCAAACTCTTTTCAGAACAGCTCTGAACTGCATAATAAATCAAACCATATGAATAACAATTATTCTATGCTAAAACTATGATTACAGCTAAACATAGACCAGGCATTCTGTTGGGTACTCATTAATTAATTCATAGCTGTTGACAAAACACATATGCCTAAGTTTATTTATAGTCGCATTCATCATTATATTCTGTTAAAAATGTCCTAAAATGTATCATTGGTAGGAATATTTAGTGACCCAACACTTCATCAGTGGCCATTATTGTTCGGTACAAATATTAAAACTTAAAATATTTGTTAGCTCTCCAGAACCAACCACAATAAACAAAGAAAGTATGTTGCAGCAATTAGCCTTATCAGCAGAACAATGGCAAGAAACAAAACACAGCACAAAAGTTAACTGTCTCTAAAATGATTTCATTATGGTATTCAAATACTGTGTAAAACAAATATTACAAAATTATAATGTGTGAATGTACAATGTACCTAATGTCATCAATCCATATTCTTCTTTTGTACACTCTTGCTCCTGTAACTACTCTTCTGAGATAAAGCAACAGTGCTGATGACTGGTGTTAGTGCTGTACAAGATGCCCAGTTGTAGCACAATCATTAAAGTACTAAAAATAAGAATACTAAAAAACAGTGTACACAGAATGTCTCACACCGTGTGAGGGTTCTATGACCACATTTTGGGTGTAAGATTTGTGGGAGGGAGGTATATAGTCACTACCTTCTAACAAGCATGTCCTAAGAGATTAAAGTTGGCTGAAATCAAATGTGTTAAGCTGAATGGTGCAGATATCATATAGCCTAGCTGCAAACCACAAAACAACATGCCAACTGTCTCTTTCAGTACCAGAAGGTTTCACAAGTACGTGAAGAAATAACCATGATGAAAAAAAGCATATTATTTTCCAAGTGACAACAACGCAAAGTGGTAATTATACTGGAGAAGCCAGACTTCTTTAGTTTGTTCTGAACCCTTGAGGCCACAGAAATATTATATTTAATAAACAAATAGAAAAAGTATGGGTCAGTGCATAGAAAGAAGTAGAACGACAGAAGGACACATTAGACAAAATACAAATTAAAAAATGCCATATCCAGAGGGTAACAATAGCTTTTAATTTTTATGTTGTCTAGACTGTCCTTCTACCTTTCTACATGTTTCTATGATTTCTAATTAATACATTGTCTGTTTCTTTATTACGTATCACTTGAGTTAGTTAATTGACAGATTATCCTCATTGCACATCAGACAAGTCCGTAAACACTTAGACCCATCTGCAGTATATCCCTCAGCTTGTGGCGACTGATAACACCAGTTCTATTTACTATCATCTTTGGCTACATGTATAGAGTTCATGTCTAGTGACACCTCTTTTGCCCTTAAGTTCTTGTAGTCTTTTAAATGTTGCTGACTCATCATCATCTCCTAAATCAATCTTCTCGACCTGCCTCCTTCCTTGACAGCATTGAGAATGTCGGCCTGGTCCACTGCTATTCACGTATCTATCAGTGCCCTGCCAGTAAGCTCATTCATTCCCTCCACCCCAGAGTGCCCTGGCACAAGAGTGCCCTGGCACACAAAAACAAAACTGATTCCTATCAGACAAGATTTCCTCAGTGACTCCAACCATTTTCTTTGAATCTATCCTGTCTTGATCTTCTTTAGCATGTCCATGGCATCCTGTTCTCATGATTCAGAAGATCATAAAGTGTCCAACACATTAAAAAATGACTGGATTAATCAACCAACAACCCATCTATTTAATTATTTACTCATCTACACCTTCATTTATCCAACAATTAGTCCCTGTAAGTTTCCATCTCACCTTCTAATCTAATTATTATTCTAATATAGATAATTAATATAAAATGGAATAAACAATCAATTTAATACATAGTATAATAATAATAAATACTCACATTCTACTCTGGCAAAAAATGAACAATTTGCTTTATTCAAACTGCCATCAATTGCTGAAGCTGTTACTATTATTATTTCAGATGTTGTAATAGGGGCACCATCTGGTGGGTCGTAGATAATGTTGACATATCCACTGTTATCAACTGCAGTGACTATTGTATTATTATATTTAATTTGTGGAATTCCCTGCTGTGATTTTGCAGAAACTGTCACTATATTTCTGGGGCAGGTAATGCTTGGTGGTACCTGATCTGAAAGTTAAATAATGATTATGATTATAATTTATTTCGGCATTTTCATAAAATATTTATGATACATTTTTTATTATGCCTAAATTACTTTATAATAGTTAATGGTTACATTTTTTTTTTTTAATAATGATAACACAAAATTTAAATACAATTTGAAATTTAGCAGCCTTACCAAAAATGGTTACATTAAATGTACATGTCGCATTATTTCCTGCTTCATCTTTTGCCACCATTACAAATGTTGTATTCTGTAAGTAAAAGATAAAGATTAATTAAAATGAAATTTTTTTAAAGTCATATAATCCAAAGATGTGTACTGAGAATCAAAAAATGATATTTTTTCATAAAGTAGATTAAATAGTGGAGAAAAATTTATGATTCTGTGGATTATGATGAGAGATTCATGCAGATACTTAATTTTGAGAAGAAATGTGGCAATTTTACACTTTTTGAGAAAAAGATTTGTCTTCACCTTTGACGTTGCCTGTGTTGAGTTGACCTAAGTTTAGTTAAGTTTTAAGAACCAATTTCATAGCACTCGGGACATTCCCATAAGTACTCTGTCCACATCATCAACAGCCAGTGAAGAGTTCCAACTCTGATGGTACCAAAAACAGTTTGACTGTAAGTGCCTCTTGCCTTTCCTCTTACTGTTCAATGTCAGCCAGATCCCCTAGTCACTACCCATTGCACCATTCTTTTCAGACCAAAGAGCCTTGACAACATCTAGCTTGTCCTGCACAAATTTACCACCAGGTGGCGTAGAGCCAGAAAGGCTGTACACCTGTTTATTTCCTAACACACCTGCTTGTCCCGGAGAAAATATCCAAAGGTTGCTAAATACCATGGATGTCTAAAGTTATGCATGCCACTCTGCACAAAGCATACCTTTCTCAGCATGACTCATGAGTCGGTTACAATCATAATATGTTTGTGCAGCTGATTCTCAAGTCAGCAGAAGGCTACACTGACCGCCTCTATCTCTATTTTCAAACCAGATTTTGTGATATCATACACCAGACTTTGATGTGCTAGGGGTCATCCATTTGTTCTGCTATGAACCCCCTTGCACTTCTTCTGCCTCCCAACACAGAGCCATTAGTATAGAAAATCACATCACCTGGGCAGGTATTTTTGTGAATTAGCCTTTGAATTTCTGATTCCACAGCACCTGCAAGCCAGTCATGTGCTGTTACAGGTTCAGCTTTTCATATTCAAGTAGCTTGAGCCCAAAAACAATACTTTTCTTCTCTATCCAAAAATAAAACATTTTTCTTTCATTTTTCTAAACTAGGGAATTTTTGTATTAACTCAGTGTGTCTGAATTGTTCAAATCTTTCTACTTCTGTACTGTTTGCAAAAACAGCGCTACTACAGGCATAAACATTATATTCCTTATGTTATTATTTACGTTACCATTTTGATAACAAATTCAATTTTCTCCATGACTGTTTATGATTCAGTCAATATACAATATGTTATCCAAAAAAAAGCATTACTTTGCCAAATCTGTTCAACACATTGATATCTGGTTTGACTGTAAGGGTGGGCATCATTCCTGAGTTGTCTGTGACAGTTGGAAGAGGCTTGGTAGCCGCAACTGGGCCAAAAGTTCCCAAATTAATGACAACAGGTCCCACAGGGCATGAGTGGAAGGTAGGAGGTTCAAAGTCTGGGGAAAAACATGTTTCTATGTAAACAATTCATAATTGTAAAAATTAAGTTATCAATATATTTTTCTTAATTTGTGTTTTTGTTTAAACTGTCATAATACTGAGTTCAAAATACTGAAAAGAGAAAATAACTTGTTGACAGTCTTTAAATTTACCCTCTGAAAAATAGCTCAATGTGAATATCAAAAAATATTATTTCAAGTAATACTTATAAAATCTTTACAGTATTCTTCTTCTTCTCCTTCTCCTTCTTCTCCTTCTCCTTCTCCTTCTTCTTCTTCTTCTTCTTCTTTTTTTTCTTCTTCTTCACTTCCTCTTCTACTGCTCTGGGTGTTGATGAAGATATAAAGTTCTGCTTCTTGCTCTTCTCACCTCGACCATAGACACATCATGCTGTTGTAGGGGTTCTCTGGTGTTATCTTTCTATGTTGTTCTTGATCTACCTCAGGCTCTTCATCCATCTCCTCTTTTGATGTAGGCCCTGTATGGTATGGCGTCATAAGGCATTCTCTCTAAGTGGGCTGACCATCTGATTTGCTGTAAAATTGGTTCTGTGTCAACTTTTTCTCTTATGACCTCATTCCACATTTTACTCTTCTGGTCACATTTGCAGTTCTTCTCAGGCGTATAATTTCCATGATATCTAAACAGTATTAAACAGTCAATAGTAAAGTTTTAAAAGCATACATATGCATAACATTTGAAAACAAATTAAACTTTAAACATCCCATTTATAACCTAGAAGGGTTTGACATAATAGTGTTGCTACTGCTGTTGCTACTACAATCTATCTTCTAGTATCCAAGAAAGGTGGCTGGATACACATACGAAATTCTCTCCTCAAGACTCGCTTCATTGCCTCTCTGGAGGGGGACAGTGTATCGGGAGGAAAAACCTGTCACTTGTCTTGAGGACTGATCACAGACTATATGGTCCCACCAGGCAATCACTATGCCACTGCTGCTTATTAGGCACAGTATCAGCTAGAATTCACTTGTTGAATCAATGTACACAGCCACTTTATTTTTAAATCATGCCTCCACCATCGCTTTTGTCTTTTAGTGTTTTAAATTAATCCTAGTGCCCGGCTAAAGTTTGAAAAAAAAAGTTCATGAACTAAATAGAGTTTCCGAGGAAAAATCCTATTTCAAAAACAATTATTAACAACTAATTAATTGTTTAAAATTTGAATTATCTACATTTGTTACATTTTTGTAACAAAATATAAAAATATGTATAGAGTAATCAATAATCAAGAACAGAGTAAATTATTCAATTGAATGCATTCCTAGGGGCTTAGAACAAACATGTATTTGGTGGTTCATGCCATGACCACATGACCTCCATCAATGAGGCTTACTGGACAATTTCAAGTCAACATGGCTTTAGAGAAGCTAATGGATTTACAAGGAAACCCTTCTGAATACTATATTTAGTTCATATAATGATATCCAGGATTCCTAAACACTACAAAGTTTTTCACAGAATTAATGACATTTAACTAAGTTCTTGAGAACAGGTCACTGCAGAAATGGCAACATTTCAATATCATGACTTGATGCAGTACATAACCTTTTATCATGTTTATTGATAAATGTTTTTTGATAAATATAAGTTTAAAAACAACTCAATCAATGTTTACATAACCTGTTATCATGTTTATTGATAAATTTAAGTTAAACAACAGCTCAGTCAGTGTTATCACTATTTACCAATGCATGTTGGTAGTGAGGCATTCCACTGTGGTCTCAGCTGAGGATAAGCTACACTTCGTTTACCACGATCTGAAACTTTCCGCTCTGAGAACAAAATAATTTTGTAATACATTAATTATGTAGTTATGGATGTATGCTTTGAGAGGCAGATATTATGACAGACTGGATGCAAGAAGTAGATTAGCAATCGCCCTGTGAGGGTTCCAATAGCAATATCTTTATGTGGATTCCAAGACCCTGTTTATGCAGGAAAAAGAACAGGCTTACTGCCCCATAGCACATATGTCATAAAAGGTGACTAATTAGTGGTTTTCTGTAATTTGGTGTGCTGGGCCAAAAGTTGTAGATATCGCAGCCTAGCTGTAAACAATCTGCCAACTGAACTTTCCAAGGCAAATGCAGAAAAAAGAAGAAGAAAAAGAAGAAGACTGGAAATATCTTTCATGAGAACTAACCTCTCTAAAAGCCTTGCCATTACATGAACTCCAGAAGGAAGACATAGATAAAGATAATCAAGAATTGGTAAACTATGGAAGCTGAAATGAAGAAAATACCACACATTACTATAGTACAGTTGCCATTAAACTGAGTAATGTGGAAATTTTCCTCAAGTGGGTTCTGGGAAAACAAGAATTGACTCACAGCCTTCCTAACAAGCATGTCATAAGAGTCGACTAATTAGGGATTTCCTTTGAAGTCAGAGTGCATCTGCCTGAGAGGCAATGAACTAACAGTCTGCATACATTAATGACATATGTAAAACCGATGTTACACAACACTAAGGTTCTGGAATAAGACTAAAGTCCAGAAGTGGACAAACAACCAGAACTTTTCGCTAGAGTTTATATTCAGTGAAGGCGAAGAAGAAGATAAAGGGGATGTCAACATCTGTTATATTATCATTATCTTGTTTGTACATTTACTACTTTTGACATTATCATCATGTGCAATGCTAAAAAGCACAGACGGTCATTGTTTGTCATCTCATACAACCACCAGAATCATGGATCTGGTCAGTGTTCTTGTTATGTCCTATCCAGGCAACTAAAACATTTGAATATTCATCTTTTTTCCCATCAAGCATGCTAGCTGTCACCAATTTTTCAACTTTATTCTTTCTCAAAACACGTTATCAAATATTGACTGTCTACATTTACAATGAAGAAAAAAAATCAACATCAAAACAACAGAAATGAAATTTATGCAACAAATCCTAAATGTAACTAGCAGAGACAGTCTCAGCAATGACACATCATGACATAAGTTGGAAGAGAACCAGTACTAAACCGCATATCAAATTGTTTGGAGATGTGTCAAAACTATTACCAGATGGTGCAATACAGACAGCCTTGTCACACAGACATAATGGAAGTAGAACTAGAGGTGAGGTCAACCATGCAAGATTTGGACAGATGAAGTATCTGAAGCCATGAATACCACTATCTACACAGCTCATACAAAGGTTCACATAATGCCTCTTTAAATCCTGATGCTGAAAAGCAGAATAGGACTAGGGAGGAAGAAGAAGACCTCATTTCTCTAATGAGTTTATGGTTTTAATTTCTTTAGGAGAACTGCCTCATTTGTTTTTCTATCATTCCAAATCTATTTTTACAACACATACATTACACATTTTAAGACTGTTCTTCTACATTTATGGAGATTGGGTTAAGAGTTATAAAAGCCATTTCTGTCTTTTAATATTCTTCATTCTTATCATTCTGGTCTTTGGACAACATTTGAGCAACAGTGATGAATCATTAGTCAACGTTACTATTCTAATGTGCCATTCTAATAAATGTATCTACAGAGGCATCTCTGGCTTAGGCATTCTGATGTAAAGGGCTTCTTTTCACGACTTTCGACATACTTGATTAAAAGTGCTAGACAGAAAAATTATAAACCAATCTGCACACTGTGGGTAATGTGGTGAGCATCATGCCAACCACCTTTACTTCCCATGATTACACCTGGCACCCATTTTTAGCTGTGACAACCTAGAAGCAAAGGTCATTCTGAATACTGCTTATAATTTCGAAATACTTAGTTTCCAGCTGTAGCTTATTTGGCAGCAGACCTCTCTGCTTTGATTTAGACAATGGTGTGGAGCTCCAACCGCTCTGCAACATCCTGTAAAGGATACCCGACTAATATTGTTAACAGAGATATGTTTATTATTGTAAAAGTACTGATTTTATTAATAGTCACTAGACTAGCTGTAGACAGCCCTTTCCTAGGAATGACACTGAGCAGTTAAGAGTCAACAATCAGGAAGCTGTAGAAAAGCAAAAACATAAATAATAACATTGTGAATACGTGTAAATAACAGACATAAAAGTAAAGGATTTGAAGAAGAATGACTGGACAACCACTAGCATTTCCAGGTTAATGCATCTGAAAACAAATACTTGAGGAAATTGATGTACATTAAATGGGATGAATTCAAGAAAGAAGATAAATATCTGACAACCACTGATATCAACATAAGACAAAGAAGATGGTGATATAATGTTGGCATCCTGAAGAGAAGTGAACACAGAATCACCAAAGAGGAGCTAAACTAGGAAACACATGGAAAAGAGGACAACAAAAAGAAGCACAAAGATCAACATTAATCTGAGAGGTCAAAGGTGCTGCTCTGGATTATTAGAGTTTTAAAAAAAAGAAAGTAAAGATCCCTGTTTACGCCTTAGGGGCATGGGGCATATGGGAAGAGCACCCACATTTTTACAGACCGATCAGCACTAGGTGGGTAATGTGGTCTTTTTCACCACGACACACATCCTGGTACCCATTTAAGGCTGGGTCAACCCGTGAAGCCTCATACCATGATGAAAATCCACACAGCCAGCAGTGGATTTCGGTCGTGGTATGCTGGAATTATGAGTTGGACTCGCAATGCCTAAGCCACGAATTTTGCGTCTGGATTAGACTCATATACCAAAAAGATTGCACAGGATGAAATGGAATAGTAGAATAGACCAAGGATTCCCATATGACATCTAAATAGCACAACTGGATGGTGATGAAAGTAAACGATCTTTTGTTTTTGTTTTTCACACACTGAGCAGTAGACTTAAATTCTATACATTAACTAATATTTGGAGGGTGATGTGCTTAATATCATGTTGGCTGCCTTTACATCTCAGGACTTTTTCTGGTATTCACTTCAGGCGGAGTCAATCTGGAAGTCCCAGATCAATTTTTAAAACGGCCTGTTTAGAATTTGAACCCAAGATCTTCAGGCTAGCAGGCAAGCACAGTAATATATAGAATATTGTTACATTTTAAAAAGATTCAAATACTAACCTATTGTTTGTGTAGGGGATGGTTCTATCTGCACCTCACAGTAGTGGATTAATGGATTATATACTCTTCCAGGAAGACATATCCACCGTTTACTGGATACTTTGAAGTTTAGTGGAACTGAGAGATTAGCCTTACAAGTGGCTGACAAAGTGGTTATCATTGTAGAAATAGGCTGTAAAATGGCTGATTTCAAATATTTGTAAATTTGCTGGATACAGTCTTGTGTTTCCGGCTTGTTGAACTGCAGGTTAATCAATATCACTGGAACGGTGATGTTAACCTGGGAAGTGAATAAAATGATAACATTTAACTACAATAAAAGAACTGTAACATTTCTTCCTCTTCTGCTTCTTCTTCTTATTCTTCTGCTGCTCCCTTAAAAGGTTGTTAGCACACTCAGTTATATTTTACAGATAGGCTGCAATATCTGCACCTTTCGTCCTAAAATATCCGATTTTTGCAAACCCGTGAATAGTTGCCTTTTACAGCAAGTTTCTAAGAGTTGCATAGAGACAAATTCTCTCTTTTCCCTCCCCAAAATTGAGCCATGAAAACCACACAAGAACTTTGAGTATTTACCAGTTAATAATTCTGTTCCACTGCCAAATAGAAGTTATACAACTTGGCTGTAATCTTTGCTCCTTTTTGCCCAAAACTTTCAATGTCAGCAAATAAATTAGTTGCCTTTTATGACATGCTTGATAGGGCTGCAGTGACTATCCCCTTTCCATCTATCCCCCCTTCCTCCCGACCTCCACTTCCTTCCCAAATAGGGTTCCAGACCCACATATGAACTTTGAATAATTAATAACTTTCAGCTATTGCCTAAATGGAGGTTGGCCTCAGTGGATAAGTGCATTCACTACTGTCTTTTAAAATATTATATGGTGAAGCTCAAACTCTTTCACAGCCTAGCTTCTATAGGACTGTTTAAAAGCCTTGAAAACAAGTTTTAAACCAGCCACAAGGAAATCAAACCCTGGGTCACAGAGGATTGTGAGACATATTCACTAACCTCTAAGCCAAAAGTGTTCTTGCAAACAAGAAAATAATAAAGCAGGATGACAGCAGTAGTGATTATAAAGACAACCATGATGAGAATAAACACACAAGCTCAACAACAGAGACACATCAGCACTACACCTAGCTAATCCCTTACCCCTTGACGTCCAATAGTTATATTTCCTTGATCTTGCAAAAACGTAATAATTTTAGTACCATTGCATATAGTTCCTTTCAGCAGGCCATTTTGAATTTCTTTAAATATATCTTTCATCAGCTGTTCGGTGGATGTTTCAATCACATGTTTGCATGGGATCTCCTCATAGGTCCCTGTCACTGCAATCTCTATCCTTGTTGAATGCAGAGGTAAGCTTTCTGTAGAAGAAAATATCACAGTCTTGATGTTAACAGCTACTAAACAGTTATGACTTAGAATTTTTTCTTTGAGTGGTATCACCTTGAAATTATTGGTACTTATAATTATAGGTTTGATCAAGGTGTGGGTGTTTTAACAGCAGACTATATTACATTGATCTTAACACTGATATGAGTGTCCACATTTTCAGAAAGAAATGACAAACAAGCGAACTCAAAATTGCCTAGTGAAACCACGAACAGCCAACAAATTGTAGGGTTAGTCTTCACATCCTGTAAAGGATATGCAACCAATTTTAATTATGGGATAACAGTTTTAGTTAGAACACACAGACCCCCGTGTGGGTTCCGGGGCCCTATTGTGGGGAAAACAAGAATAGACCCACTGCCTCCCCAAAAGCATGTCGTAAGAGTCGACTAACTGGGGAGCTTCCTTTGAAGTCGGAGTGCATCTGCCTGAGAGGCAAGGAACCAGCAGTCTGCATTCAATTGAATCAGATCTGTAAAACTGATGCACATGCAACACTCAGGTTCTGGAGCATGACTGCAGTCCAGAAGTGGACGAACAACCAGAACTTTACGCCAGAGTGTACAGCTGGTGAACACAAAGAAGAAAGAAGAAGAACACACAGAAAATGTGTATGTGTTTGTCATGTCTTTAAGTTATTGGTCTAATTTTTATTTCTATTTACTAAGATTTATACTTGTCTCTACAATACATTAACAAAGGCATTTTATTTTTAATTTTGATCAACTAGACGATAGTGTTATACAGTGCTATGAGGAGGCATGAGACTCACAGCCCATGGCGATGAGGAGAGTGACTAGTAAGACCCACCCATGCTGAGAAAAGTCTTCCACAATTATAGCATAGGATTTCAGGACCATTGTTGTCAACATTTGTGTTCAGTCTTTTCCTTCTCAGACGCTCAGCTCTCTTCCTTCATGCAATCATTTCTTCCTTCCTTCATTCTCATTCCCTTCCTGATGTGCCCCCTTCACACAACACAGTCCATGACATTTTGTTCCCAAGAGTCCACTTCAACTGAACAGTTGATAACTGAACAAAACAGATAAATAGGTCCAGAAATGACAAATGCACTCAGTATTCCGCCAATTTCTTAAGTAGTCAATTACAAGTTCACTTGCTGATAGTACCGGGGCAACATGAGTAAAAGTTCATATACATACTTCCTGTACATTGTGTACCAACCTCATCTTCTGCTCATTCCCTGCTGTATCAGTCTTGACAGGTGTAGATGTGCCGTTTGTTCTGCTGCGCTATGCGCTCCATCCAAGTGAGATTCCTATCATGTCTACTTTATCATAAAGTAAAAGCTTGTTACAATATCTTTCTATGAAGTCACAGTCTTAACAACAATTTCCTCTTCACACTTGTTTGCTCCGTATAGTCCTAGGACTAATATCTCTGAAGTCCTTCCAAGTGACTGATCTAATTTATAATTTATTAGAGGCCTCACTTGTTGTTACAAACATCATGTTCAGTTACCAAGTAGAACTAATATTATCATGTTCAGTAAGTCTTAAAAATATGAAATAAAAATATAGTTACCGTTAATACATTTAAAATTAGACTTGTCAGTGACATAACCATGAGTGCAGTAGAGATTCATTTTAGAAGTATCTGATCTAAATCCATGAGCACTTAAAATCAGCACTGGACACTTGAAATTAGACATCCTAGATGCAGTAACAGAAAGAGTTTTCTGAGGTGGTTCACGAAACTGCAATGAAGTGAAGTTGGCACACTTGCTCATGCGCGAGAAATCCACACTTTCTTGAAGGGGTATCAAGTTCACAGTAACTTCAGCAATCACCTGTAGATTAAATGTAACTGTTAGTCACAAAAGTGTATTTCCTCACTATAATAATGATTGTCCTTGTATTTAAAGGAAAAGCAAGATGGGCATAAAATCAGATTAGAACTGGTGCCATTGGTATTGGAACTCTGTGGTGGCTGTTGAAGATGGGGATAGAGCATTTATGGGAATGCCCCAAGTGCTGTGATGTCGGTTCTTAAATCAACTCAACTTAGCTCATTTACCAGGTTTCTTTCTTGTCACAAATCTGGTGAATTAATGTGACTCTAATAATATATTAAGCAAAATATTGTACTTTCTCAAATGGATTCTACAGAACTTACATCAACATATAAAGAAGCACAGCAATTAATTCTTTTAACTTCTTCTTTTCCTTCTCCCTGCCAGTGGTTTTTTTTTTTTTTAGATTAAAAGGCCACGGGCTTTTATGAAGACTGTGGTGCAACATCTGACCTTTACTGGTCCATACAGCTGGGTTTCAATATAAATTTCAAATGGCCAGACCTGGGTTCTACCTACTGTATGTTGAGAGTACGTCTGCAGCACATTTTTAGTATTCTGAGATGCTTGTCCATGAGGGGAAAAATTATCAGTCTTTAATCTTAAATTGTACATATTTCGCAATCTAAATACAATTGTATGTTTTTTTCAGGTGAGAAGGCTGACTGGGTCTTCCGGATTGTGTTCTGAATTGGAAGTGTTCCAATGGGTTCTCAAGGCTGCTTTGATTATCTTTTTTTTTTTTTATAATTTTTTTTTTTATCTGTCCCCGTCACACTTTACATATTAAATAGGAAAACAGATTTGAGATTTGCCACTTGAGATGGCTGATGCACTAAAAGACTGAGATCATAAGGAAATGCCCACTGCACTCTGATGATGATTGCGATGTTGCTCTCTCAGTGTTCTCTGGCTTTTTCCTAGAGGATTATACTGTGGTTGACTCATGACGAACTGATGCACACAGATGTTATTGAGGAGACACAATAGCAGTTTATATCTTTATTACTGAAAGAAGCCAACCTGGTTCAGTCACTGTCAGCTACTCTCTAGCAAGTTCAAATATTCAGCAGGTAACAATGACAAAGTTCCTCGCCGCTGTTTACAATCATTCGCATTCGCTACCTCTGGCATCTTCACATCTCATTCATGCCACATGTACAGGTATAAAACAAGCATCTCCAGCCGCTGGCTGTTCAGCTCCACCATCAGGTTAGTTGTTGACTGGATTCTGGCTTGGCGGTCATCTTGTTGAATTCAGTCTCCTCCACATTGTTCAGTTATACAAGTCACATTCATGCTCTTATAAAAACACAACCTCTCACTCTGGCTGGGAATCACACACTTGTTTGGAACATCGTCCAATCTTTCAACCTTTTTACTCAGTCCGTAGTCACTTGAGCACTCGTCCTACAATTTGTGCTTCTGCGGGTATTGGTGTTCTCATGCATTTCTCTCTCAACCTATATTTAACCTTTTTACGTAACTAGAAACTCTGTGTGGAAATTCCCCTCATTAAAATGATTGTGAAAACATAACATAATATACAATTAGTTGTGAATACTTTAGAGGACACTGCAGAACCAAACCCAACATTATTTGGCTGTTTAGTTAGTTTTCCTATGCAATTTTACAGTCAGTAGTTTGCCACTGTTTTCTGAATGATCAGCTCTTCATACTATCGTCAAAATCAATGCAAGGTAATCCCCTGCCAAATCGCCTGCTGCAGGAATCAAACCAGATTTTTCAGCATTGCAAAACACATTTGTCTAAGCCACAGTCACTGACTATAAAATAAAAAAGGTATTTTTAAACAAATATAATTTCTTACCTTTTTATCATTAATAGTAATACTGACATCCTTATCTATAACCGTATAAATGTCGCTGAACATCCTCGGGTGTAAATTCTGCTCTACCATGGAAAAGACTCTTATCAGTGCTGCTTTATATTCTTTAATACACTGATCATCTATCTGGTCATCTGGACTGCTAGAGGTGAATGTTCCAGCAAATTTCATTTGTACATTAGGAATTGTAAAAACTTGCACTGGAGGATGGGTAGTAACCAATAATGTGGTGGCATTATCTGGTGAACTCTCCTTTGTTGAAGAGTGAAAGCACCTGTATATTAAATGTATTAGTGTTGACAACTTTTTTAAGAAAAATTATGAACATTTCAAAAACAATTGTTATTGTGCGAATATTTTACATAGCCAATTACTAAAAATATTTGACTTTTTCCATCATAGCAACCATCTGAATATCATCATTAGTTGTTAAAGAAAACAGTTTTATATGTTTTTGCAGATATGCCATTAATTCATGAGCAGCATCTTTTCCCTTCTTTAAACAGCCTAATGTCCAGACACTTAGAGTGTCACATGGTATGTGTGTTTCATCTGTCTCTTACACAATTCTTTCATTCATTCTTTCTCTGTGTGCCACCCTCACCCCCAATCGATTATTTCACTCAGACATTACAACTCTCTTACTCTGTCACTCAATCTCTCAGTGACTCTCACTATCTCTCTCTCTCTCTCTCTCTCTCTCTCTCTCTCTCTCTCTCTCTCTCTCTCTCTCTCTCTCTCTATCTCTCTCTCTCAGACAACAGGTTTGTCAAAGACATTCAGAGAATCACTGTCTCCACCTCGCTGATGTGTTTTCTCTCATTAGCATCTTCCCTTACCCGCCCTCCTTCTCTCTCTCTCTCTCTCTCTTTGTCTCTCTCACACACACACACACACACACACACACACACACATACTCACACACACACTCACACACACAAATATAATGAATAGTAACAATGTACAAATATCCTAACCAGCTAACAAGAGTCACACACAAATAAATTCTCTTTAAATATGCAATTAACCTTGAAGCAAAGGTTCACAGAAAGAAATCTCAATCAAATGTGTAATTAACATTCAGGAAAGAAATTGTCAGAAATGAATCTTCAATCAATTCTTTATTAACATGAGAAACCTATATGAAAGAATCATTTAATATGTAATGTATCTTACTCAAGAAATTTAAACAATATGTCTTTACTAGCAGTAAAGGGCAGTATATGATGGATTCTGGGGTTGTGGGGTGGGGGTGGGTGATGAACCTGAGGATTTTCAGCCCCTTATTTAGTGCAGTGACCATGGACTATTCAGGTTAGGGTTTTATTTTTTGCCCCCAACAAAAAAATCCATCCCATAACCAATGATTTCTTCTTTGTGCTCACCAGCTGTAAAATCTGGCAGAAAGCTACAGTTGTTTGTCCACCAATGGACTTTAGTTTTGTCCCAGAACCTAAGGGTTGCATGCCCATGCATTTTTTACAGATCTGGCTTGCTTGTATGCAGACTCTTGGTTCCCTACCTCTCAGGCAGATGCATTATGACTTCAAAAGATGTCCTCAGTTAGTCCACCCATATGACATGCACTTTGGGGAGGGCAGCAGACTATTCTTGTTTTCCCTATAATAGAGCTCTGCAACAAACATGGGGAACCAAGGAATCCACCTGGGTCTTCTGAATGACAGCCCAGCTTCTTAATGGCTCAGCTTAACTGCTCTTCCTCCAAATACAGAACAGAACCCCTACCCAATGTGTAATTACAAATAATTTAAGACAAATACAGAATAGAATCCCTATCCAATTTGTAATTACCATTAATTCAAGACAAATACAGAATAGAATCTCTATCCAATGTGCAATTTACATTAATTCAAGACAAATACACAATAGAATCCCTATCCAATGTGTAGCCAATGATAACACATGAAACTTACAGAAAAGCATCCTCATCCAATGTGTAACCACTGTGGCAGCTCCATCCCTGGTATGTCATGTTAAATCCTCGCCCAGTGTAGTTGACAAACCTGCAGTCTGATAATGATGTCTCTTTCTCTACCTTCTCAAGTTTCTTTGGCAGTTGATCAGCAGCAAAACCCTGAAAGTCGCTCCCACAGGATGCAACACTTGATTTACTGGAGGCAGTATAAGTTATGGAGAACCTGACGAATATCTTTGCCTGTGTGAGAATAAAAATACAGGATCGTGTAAATATATATAATAGTGTCAATAAGTAGCAGAAATAGTATTTACATAAATAATATCCTGTTAAAATCGTAGGGTAATAATTGGGGGGGGAGGGGGTAGTCAGGGGGAGAGAGAGAGACACGTGCGAGCACGCACACGCTCACAGGCACACACAGACAGACAGACAGAGACAAGTTCCAGGAATTTGTTAGTTGTGTAGAAGTAATTAACAATGCAATTATTTACACAACTTTACTGCCCTTTCAGTGCCAATTTTAAGTGAATGAACAAGAAAATAATTAGCCGGTGCCAGGCCAGGAGAATACCATGGAAACTTCCAATAGATATTCCAACTTTTGAGGAGATTTTCTTGACACTAAGTCTTCTTCAGCACAAACAATGTTAGGAACAGGTTCAATGTTTTTTGTGTTGTTTATCCTGGTTCATGGAGCCCACTATGTTCATCGTCATCAACACACATAGGGCCTTTGAGGAAACGCTTGCATCACTAAAAACATTTGCAGTTTCTTCTTTGCTGTATCATCCGATGCTTTATAAGCAAACTTACTGACTCTGAGGCTGACTTCTCAGGCAAGACTCATTTGTGTATTGCTTAACCAAACAGTTTTCAACTAGGATGATGCTACATGCACAAGACACAAACAAACATCTGTAACTTCTGTTTGAGAATAAATGTGAATGTCATATCTGCCATGTTGTTTGGTCAAAGTCATTATCTAATGAAACTATAATCGTCATGCTAATTCCAACATGAGTCAAGTAAATTTGTTTATGTGGTATAACACATCCAATTTTATCAAACAACTAATTAGTCACCTTTTACAACATACTTGTGGTCAGGAAGGAGCAGTGAGTCTATTTTTTTTGTTCACTCAAAATGGGACCCTTGAACCCACAGGGAGAGAAAAAACCAATACATTTCAAACAAAGATATGTAGTATAAGAGGTATAATAATGTGGATAAAGATGATAACCTATCTTAGCTGTCATGGATGGAAGAGGAGACACAAATATATAGAATAAGACAATTGTGGAAGATATTTTATGCAGAATAACATCTTAAATGTTTATATGTGCAACAACACTGAGACTGCTTACCCTTGTGCCTAAAAATCTTATGTTTCCAGCAGACATCTCTAGAGAAGCATCAGGAGCATCCTGGCATGCCAGACTGCCAATCCTGTTTACAAAGTCATGGAGTAGCTCATTTACTTTGACATTGATGCTGGTGTGGACAGTATCAATGCATGAAATGTTGGCAAAGCTCCCCCAGATGTAGTCATTAATCTCCACAGAGTAAACAGGAACTGATACTGAAGACAGAATTAGTTTATTTCATTAGGTTTAGTTTTAATCTGAGGATTGATTTCATTACACACATAGGCTATCCAGGCGGCGTCCGTGGCGTAGGCGTTGCGAGTCTGACTTGTAATCCAACCTACGATCGAAACCTACTGCTGGCTGCATGGATTTTTATCATATGGGGCGTCGCAGGTCTACCCAGCCTAAAATGGGTACCAGGATGGCTGTCCTGGGGAAGTAAAGACGGCCGGCGTAATGCTGACCACATTACCCATCCAGTGCCAATTGGTCTATAAAAATATGAGACGCTCTTCCCATATACCCGATGCGCCTAAGGCGTGAAAAGGGATCTTCACTTTTATAGGTTATCCAGGCTGTTATAGTGATAAACGTCTACAGGCAGACTTACAGAAAGGTAGACAGACAAGTAGTCAGGCAGGCAAGAAGAATACATAGACAGACACAGGTAGGCAGATATGCAAAGGTTACATAGATACTGTAGTCAGTAAACAAGTAATAAAGTCTGACTCAGTTAACAAATCAACAAAAATAAACAACAAAAATTAAACAGGCGGAGGGATGGAGGAAATATGACTGAAGTGACTGCTGAAACATACAGACTTCTCTTAGGAATACACTTTAATCATTTCTTTTAAACATTAATGTCTCTAAGAAGAAGAAGATTAACTATTTTATACCAACCAACTCATCCTACATTCACTGTTTTGTTCAAAGAATGCTTACTTATATCTTCTTTTATAGTAAATAGTTACATTAATTCATTCTAACCACTAGTTAACCTCTTAAGCTATGCTCCGAATAACGGACACATATTACGGCAGCCATAAAAATGCCCTGACAGGGCCTCATTAGGTCATGTGTTGTAAGCATTCAAAAACTTGAATTCGAAAATAATAAGGAACAAAAAATAAGGGAAAATTAAATCAAGTACTTACTGATAATTGACGCCTTTATATCTGAAAATTGTGGCACAGAAGTTGCAAATAGTACCCGAAAATCTGCTGTTTGTGGCTGTTTTTGTGGCCACCATAATATGTGGCCGTCATGCGGAGGATAGCCCATACCGCCATCGCCGAGAGGATCCCCCGCGCAGCTAGGCGCGGCGTGCTGGAGGGGGGGAGCTAAACTAGATCGCTCGACTCACAAGCAAATAAAATGAGGAAGCTGCATGAGATGCAGTAGCTGCTGCTCATGAGTTCCAGCCAACTAGTTTAGTCCCCCTCCACGCTGCACGTAGCGGCATGGGAGGAAACTCTCAGCGGCGAGTTTAACTCAGCGGTTAGCTGTGTTTGGCGACATCATCGCTGAAAATGTATCCCACTTGTACCGCCTGATTTTTTTTGCATTTCACGACATCAACACCAGAAATTTATTCCTACTTTTGCCACGGTGATTGAGGCCCTGTCAGAGTGTTTTTTTGCCGCCATAATATGTGGCTGTTATTCGGAGGATAGCCACCTCTTGCCATCCTGTAGCGTTATTATTAACTTTTCTGGATTCAAATATTAGCTATTTTTAACTAGAACTTTTCAAGATTTAAAGATTTAATTACAGGCTGGTACTGAAAGAGTTAACTTACAATCAATGCTTGGCACTGATGGTCCTTGAACTACAGTGATTGTATGTTTTTCTAGAGCATGTGTGGTTAGGCAGTCTGTAGTGTTGATATTTCCTCTGAAGGGGCCATCACTCTGTGACCAGTTGCCTGTTGTAACCTGACTTGTGTTAACCTGATTCTCCTGCAAGACAAACTTATATCCCTTAGATGTACAGTTTACAGCAGCTGACCAAGGGGAGTCAGTTGTGTGCTGAACAGTTTCACTTCCAGTGAATGTCTTTCTGGAAGCTTCTTCTAATGGATTACGTGTTGTTGAATATCCAATATCCTTATTTGCATGACTGGGTGATGCTGACGAAGATGGCATTTCACGTGAATGCTCCTTTGTGGATTTTATTTGATCACTGAAATCATGACTTTTTGTATGAGGCAGCAATGCTGACGACTGGCTTTGTCTAATGAATGATGTAGGATCACTTGTCAAGATGACTGGAACAGTCATTTCAGGGCTTTGTGTAGTAATGGTCAAGAGTTCTGTTGTTATAGAACCAATTTTGTCTGAAGTGGCTTTCTGTTGTGATGTTGATTTCTTTGAAGTTGTTTTTTGAGAATTATATGCTTCATAATTCAGACTTGTAGAATGTGAGGTTAAAGGCATTTCAAGTGTTGTCTGTGCTGAAGCCTCATGCCTTGTAGATGTTTCAGTCTGCTGTATTGTGCTCGTTTGATCAAATGTCTTTGCATTCATAGTTATCATTTTAGTATTCTGTAATTCAGTGGTTGTAGGGGATTTAGGGTTTGCATCAGTTGTCACTGAAGGTGTCTCCGCTGATGATGTTGAAGATGTTTGTTTTGATGAAGTACTGTCAAGGAATTCTGTTACCACATGAATGTGAGGTGATGCTAGGGTAGAAAGCTTCTCCGACTGGGTGTTTGTTTGAGTGGCTGGCATAGTTATCACATGTGGGTATGTCACAGATATAGTCTGCTTTTCACTATCTCCATTTGAACTTGGTAGTTCTGTTGTGTCCAGTGTTTCTATTCTTTCATATATGCAATCTGAAATGAACAACACCTGTTTTTTTATACAGGAATTTCACATTTATGCTTGAATATCACATATAATCTTTAAAAAAAAAAAAACTGAATTTCCATTAATAGACTGATCCATGCATCCATCAATCCATCCATCCATCCATCCATCTATTCTTCCACCTATTTGTAGAACATCAATCTCAGCAAGCAGTCAGAAACTCTAATTATATTGCCAATCCTTTGCTGCATGAATTTCTTTTTAAAGCGAAAGGTGTCTTAAACATTTTAGAAGAAAATAACTGAAAACACCTATCCACCTCTTCTTTTTTTTTCCTCCTAATTCTTCTTCTGCTTTTTTCCATTTTCTTATATTTTTCAATTTCTTTCTCTTCTCATTATTACTATGTTGTTATTATTGTTCCAGTTGTGGAATGAACTTGCTCTATTCGTGAACTGAACTTGTTTCAAACATGAACTGAACTTGTTCCAGTTGTGAAGTGAACTTGTTCCAATCATGAACTGATCTTGTTCCAGTTGTGAACTGAACTTGTTCCAGTTGTGAACTGAACTTGTTCTGATCATGAACTGAACTTGTTTCAAACATGAACTGAACTTGTTCCAATTGTGAACTGAACTTGTTCCGATCATGAACTGAACTAGGTCTACATAAATTAGAAACAGACACTGTTCTTCTAAGCCACTCTATCCTGTTTTTAAAAAAAAACCTAATGAAACCAAGTAGGATACTGACCTTCCATACAAGATGGCAATATTTCTTGTCCGCAAGTCTGTTTCTCATTCTCCAACCTCAAGCCTGGCTCACACACCCAATGGTCATTAACGGTTAGTGCTGAATGCAGACTCAAATTAACTGATGCACACTTGCTGTTTTGGCTTGCTAGATGCAAGGGCTTTAACTTATCTGGCAAGTGTAACAGCAACTGCTGGTGGCAGGAGCAGGTGGAAGAAAGGTTTTCCGATGACAGACGCAGATCAGCAGCAAAGCTGAACTGAAAAGGTTTAGGTTTAAACAACAGATCAACATCATGGCACAAGGGTAGTAACTCATAAATGCTCCGTTCTACTTCTAACTAAAGCCTGAGTCGAAATATTCTCAGCACAGCGCACGAACTCCGTAGCACTGGTAAGGATTCTGAAATAAACACTTTGGGCAGATTTTTAACTCAAAATTTTGCCCGGGCAGCGTGATTAGGCTACTTTTTTTTCAATTTCCAACTGGCAAGGTAAGTTTTATGTGTGCAACAATACACACTGGCGTCTGATCTTACTACCCAGAGACCAGGGGACATTTCTAGAAGTCCACATGAAAAAATCCTAGCCTTCACCAGGACCTGAACCCGGGAATCCCAGCACTCAAGGCGGGCGCCATGCCTTGAGACCACACAGCCACCCCCTCCCCCCCCCAACCCCCGTTAAACAGGGTATATGGGATATGCCCTGTTGGTTTGCCATCCACTGTGAGATTTTTGAATTTCAGGATTTTAAACCTTCAGGTAGCTGTCCATAAGGAACACATAGCTTGCATGTACCCTACAGGTAGTATTTCTTTCAATTTCTCATATATCTTTTACTATCAACTACAGAATTTGAGAAGTTCAAGCACATTTGGTAATTTTATCAGAAGCAGGTATGTGAGAAATCAAAATGTATGCCTCACACATTGTGAAATGTGTGCTTATGTTTGATCATAATTATTTTTTGCAGTAAACACCAACTAGCTTTACATTTTGTTTGGAATTATTCTCAAAGCAAATATGGTGTCTTGGATTTCTTCTGACACATGTAGATGTTATATTATATTAACTCTGTGTATCTGAATTATTAGTGTAGTTATTTATGTCTCATGATGTCTCTCATCTTCTTCTTCTTCTTCTTCTTCTTCTTCTTCTTCTTCTTCTTCTTCCTGACTACCAGCTGTAAATTCCAAGCGACAGTTCTGGCTGTTGGCCCACTTCTTGACTTTAGTTCCAGAACCTGAGTGTTGTGTGCACATCTATTTTAAAGGTCTGACTTATTTGTATGCAGACTCTTGGCTCCTTGCCTCTCAGACAGATGCACTCTGACTTCAAAGGATGCCCCCAATTAGTTGACCTATGACCTGCTTGTTGGCAAGACAGTGGGTCTATTCTTTGTTTTCCCAATAATAAGGTCTAGAAACCCACATGTGGAGCCTCTCTGTAAAACTTCTGAAAAGAGATAAGTATTTATAATTGTGACCATGAGAAAGAGTTATGGAAAATAAAGTGAGAAGATTCTTGAAAGCTGTTAGATATCACAGGTTGTGGAGAGGCTTCATTGGTTTTCCAAGTCAGAGGCACTTGATGATGATGATGATGAAGATAAGGAAAATAATTTATTGGGGTTTTAAAACAACCCCAGCATGTAAAAACTGCCATTATTAGTCACTGAAAGTGTTTCTTAAATAAGGAAGTTTTATTGATGTATTCAAAATGTAAGGAAATAGTTTGGTTTAAAAAATAGTGTTTCATAAGAAGGCCATTTTAGTGATATATTCAAATTATAGTCAGATATATTGGTCTTCTTTAAATAATTAAAGCCTAAAAAATCTTAGAAGTAAGGTATCAAGGGTAACTTACAGAGGTGAAGGTCAGATTGCTTGAAATATCTTTCTGAATATCCATGGCAACATTTAAGCCAGGGCAAAGTTGTGTCATTGCATTAAGCCACTTCTTGAGGATTACTTCTGCATTGTAAGTTTCAATACAGACTCTTGTCACATTGACTAGGCCAACAGGGACAAAATGGCCAATAAAGGTAAATTCTATGGATGGTTTAATAGTTGATACTTTTGACTGTTTGTGGGCAAGGCACTTGATGGGATATTGATCTGAAATTTGACACACACACAAATAATAAATGAACACAAAATTCATACAATTTATAGTTTTTAGAGCAAAGGCTCTCCTTAATACTGTCAGACCCAGCACTTTCTGCTGGTATTATTTTCCCAGCTTGCTATGATGGCTTGTTTACAATGTTGAATGTTGGAATAAGAATCGATATCACAGCACTCAGGACCTACCACAAGTGCTCAGTCCCCATCTTCAGCAGCAAAAGAAGAGTTCCAATTCCGATAGTACCAGTAACCGTCTGATTGTATATCAGTCTAATCCTTCCCCTGAGTGTTGAGCGTCGGCCAGATCCCCTGGTAACTCCTCGCAGCACCACTCTCCTTAGACCATAATGATCTATCTGCGCCTCCGCACTGTTCACTCGCTCCCAAAGGGCCTTCACAATATCTAACCTGTCATACACCAATTCACCACTAATGGTGTTTATGGGAAACACAGCTAACAGAATCAGTTTCTTTAGTAGCCCTGCATACTTTAAGCAGGACCATGAATGACTGCATTTACTAAAAATAGTATTCAGAGGGACTTCTTGTGGGAAGAAAACAAAAAACCAGCTTTATTTATATAAATTCTGATGTCATATTTCTCCTTTTAGTCTACAGATACAAGGGGGACACGGTTTAAGTAATTGTCATGCTATAAGTGTTATTCAAGGGTCCAAAAGACGTGTCAAATAATTCTGTGCTGCAGTAACTTTTACTGTTTTATTGCTCTTCATTGGTATGGCATTTGTGTTGTTGCTTTTTTGTTTTTTTTGTGTGTGTAAATGAAGTTTTTTATTATATATTTTTCCAGTGACGGTGTAAAATTGAATCATTCAGGGAATTTAACCATATATATTTTAAACATACAGAGTTACTTTGAACTTCACAGTGTCACTATGAACCCAAAATTTGTATTTTAAATCTCACAATCTTACTCTGAACCTCCTAATATCACTCTCAACCTCATAATGTTACACTCAAATTCACTATATCACTATGAATTTCTATTAGTGACTAAATTCTTCTTCTTCTTCTGGGTTCGACATCAGTCATGCTAAACACTGAGTCCCGTCTGGGTCACAAATAGGATTGTGCGTTTAAGGTCGCCACCGGTCCCCCATAGCTTCTCTTTCAATGTGGCTCCCTTGGGCCAGATGCACAGTCTTTGCTGGGAGAGGTTAGGGCAGTACTGTAGTATGTGCCCAGGGGTCTGTCTTTCTGCTCCACAATCACAGGCAGCAGATTCTTTTATGCCTATCCTGTACAGATGTGCTCGAAGACAACAGTGTCCAGTCCGAAGTAGTGACTAAATAAAACACCAGTTAACGAGATGCTTACTTGATAAATGATAGCCTTTGTCAACACACTTAAATCTGACTAAGGATCCCACTGGAAAACCAGGTGTGTACTCTAATACTGATCTCTGTGGTGGCTGACCAGGGTGCAGACAAGACCGCGCTGAAGGAATAATATATGTAAAATAACATTTATTAACAGATGATGGGAAAACAAGCAATTTTTTTCAATATGTTGCCTGGCAAATTCAAGTGTATCTCGTCAGGTATATTACTAGATAATTTATTTCCTAAAGCAGAAATTACGTTGAGGTGATTCGAATGCATTACCTGCTCAGCAGGCAAGATTGCTAGTTATGTGCTATCTCAGTTCCTTCTGTTGACAATAAAATTGTTAAACCTTTAGAAAATTAGCAGCCTAGCCAGTCTCTATATGATGTGCTGATTCAGACCTATATGCGTCCTACTGTACTTCCCATTTATGAAGTTCCTGTATCAGTCTTGTACCCCCTGCTGGTTTCTTAGCTTGGAAAAGGAGCTCTGTAACACAGTCAATAATGAGATAATACTTAGGTGCTAGACTGAGAGAAAATTTTTAAAACGTCTGTTTTCCATTCAGTGCTCCGCAGACAACCCATTTAAAAAGTCTATCATATTATTCACACACACACACCCGCGCACGCTCGCATGCACATGCGCGCACGCACACGCACACACATACAGACATGCACACACGCTCACACTCACACACACACATGTGTGCATGTATGCACGCACACACATACACATGCATGTATGTACTCACATGTGCACATGTGCATACACACATGCTCTCACACACACACACACACAAATACAGCACCCAGAATGCATTCCCTTTTTTCTGTGGTATTCTAATTTTGATAAAACTAGGCAGACCAAGAAGATGAAGGAGAGCTAACGTCTAGAGAGACCTGCAAACACCTGGTGTTACCAAGTGGAAAGAGAAGGCAACAAGAGAGATGATTGGAGGCAGGTGATATCTGCAGCAATTAACCTCAAGGGCTCAGAATGCTGAAGAAGAAGAAAAAGAAGAATATTGATAAATTACAGTAAATTCTTCGGTATATCCTCTATTGTCCAATGCGTATTTATTTGTAAAATATGGACTAATGAAGCTCATCCTAACATAGATGCATGCTAAAGTAGGTGGTTCTTGTCCCAGAAAGTGGTCACAGGTGAACCTGAAAACAACAGCACCATGCAACTAGCCGGTTCCTGTAGGGAGAATTAAAAAAAAAAAGGAAAAAAAAAAAGTTCTTCAGTATGACTAATAAAATGTATGGGGTCCGTCCCAGACCTTTAAAAATAAGACAGATCTGGACGACTTAGTTAACTGAGAACCACTGCTCTTCACCGACAACACACGTATAAATACAAGCCTTTAAATGATTCAAACTGAATGCCAGTGCATCAGATTTAAATGTTAAAAGTCAGTGTTGGAGAAGATTCAATATTCCATTAAAATCTTGAAAGTCATACTGACATAAAAAATACAACCATGTTATTTCTATGTTAGAATGTCAAAAGTATTCTTGGAGAAGATTCACAATATACCAATATGCCATACTGATTTTTTTTTTTTTTTTAGGACTGAAAATGTTTAAATACGCATTTCATTCTAGTGACAGAATTCTAGTGGTGGAAAA